ATATACGCAGCGCCATCTGTATGCTTTCCGTCGAATCATCGAGTCAAAAGTACGAAACTTTTGTATCCTGATTTGAAGGTTCAATAATGAGATATGAGACGGAGGACTATATGATAATGAAACGAAAATAAATGAAATAAAAAACGAACTATTTTTTCAAACAAATTAAGAGATTATGAAGATCGATGTTTGTAAAACACTATATATTTTATTCGACTGTAACTTCGTCGAATTACTAACTACGCCTTAAGTAAGAAAAAAACGCACGTAAAGTACGAGAGTTCCATAATTTGGATATTATTCGTAACATACCCAAGAAGTATAAACATGGAGGACCTGTTGCTTGTTGTAAGACGATCAAAGCCAACGTCAAGAGACCCCGCAGATTGCAAGGCCTTCCACAATCACAGCCCGTTACATTTTGTCACACAAATACGTAATCAGTAATCCACTTTCGCGTTATCACACTCTGATTCGGCGCTAAGATCCGATTTTCGAAATAGACGCGACGCGAATAGAAGGCAGAACGGTGACCGTTACAAAGCACCCCGCCATTTTAAATACGAATGCGACGCGGCTTTCAGAATCGCGAATATCGTTAACTATCTTGGTGATCGTTGAGAAAACACACAAAATAATTCGTTACGATCGTTTCGTATCGTTCAGAGGCAAGCGACGCACAATATATTTAAGTCGAACGATAACACGTAAAAATATACGCGGCGAAATACGCGGAACAAAAATCCGGTAAATGTAACGCGTTCCCGTTCGCGGTGACCAACTAGGTGGCGCTCGTGGCGCGCGATTCGAGAGCAATCCACGTATCGAAATTCGATATATGGCGCGCAGTATCTATCGATTGATGCTTGATTTAAAAGCTAAAAACGCTGAGTAAATTTGCGACGGAGGTACAAAACGTGCCGCGCAGCTCATTAATCTTCGCGCGAATTTACGCCGAAATGAGTGTTAATAAATCATTCGATTTACAAGTAACTGCCGATAAAATATTCCGACGTTGATATTTACGAGTATTTTACACATTGTTATTAGTCGATCGTGTTTAAAAGCTGCGACACGTAAATATCGCCCGATAGAAAAACTGACAAGATTTTTAAAGTTAATTACCCTGAAAAATACGTTATCAGCTTATCGCGATCAGCTAATAACCGTGCGATTTCCACTGGAACGGAAACGAAATGACATCTAGTTCGACTTGGATCGGAGAGAGAATTTTGGACAGGCAACGAGGGTTCGTATTAGGCGTAGGGTAACACCGTGACAATTTAAGGGACGTACAATTCCAAACGAATCCGATGTGGCACGTTCATTTAACTTAAACTTGACTCGCTGCTCGCTTGGAACGTACAGCTGCCAAAAGTATTACGAGAACTTTGACCGAGCAATCTAAATGCGCGCTGCCATACGGGGAGTGGAGGGGGGGGGGGGAGGTAGACGCTCGATGACACAGACAATGCCTTAAATGGTATTAGTATCATGCCCGCGTACACGTGTATGTGTTGTACGTGTACGTGCATGTGTGCGAGAGTACGGTTCACGCATTATAGGTAGCGAGCACTTGAGTTATAAGATTGCCATGGACACTTGCCAGGGTAATATCAAACTTCGAAGCTCCACCCAGAACCACCCACACGGTAGATGGACGCGTCTACATGTGCACGTGTTGTATGCACATGCACGTGCAACACATATTCGTCGATCGCGATGGTAAGCTTCGTTATCACGGACGCCCACGTGTGAGCTTGATGCGTTGTGGCTTAACTCCTTTATGCTCCCCAACCTATCTCTCTCTCTCTCTCTCTCTCTTTGTCCCTCTCTTGGCTCCCTTCGCTGCTACCTAGCCTCCCATCAACACACTATCCTAATTACACGCTATTGATGACACAAATTAACGAACGACCTCGCAAATAACTTATTATTATAGGCAGTGTGCATTTACAAGGATACGCGTAACCATCTCGTCGGACACGTTACGCAATATGTATAATTACGTGGAAATGCGCGAAACGTGATACACCATAGATACATAACAAGAGTAAAACGAGAATAAAAATTTAATTACGAATTCTATCGAATCAAAGCTTTGTCAAACGAAATCAACAGACCGATTGACACCTATGGCGTTAGTTTCAAAAGTAATAAAATTAATATGGGATTCTCGCGGCCAGTATCCGTGAGTTGGAGCTCGAACAAAGTAACAGCAGACTCGACAAGAGAATTTGTATTTCGGCAGCTTACCGGAGGGCACGTCGAGTCAGACTTTCAACCAAAGAGTCTGATTTCGCGTAATTCTCAAGTAGTCACCTCACGAAGAACATTTCTTCTTCTCCAGTCATTGGGGGGAGGGAGGGTGAAGCGCAAATGAGATTGGAAGGAAGAAAAGGGCCGCCGAAGGAAACGCGTGATTACGATAATTCAATCGAGGATCTTCGTCGTTCTGTCGCGCCGGGAACAGGCACGGGAAGCCTCGTTGTCGAACCAAGGGGGAGAACAACCTTAAAGGATAGTTTGCTTATTCCGGTCACAATGTGAGTCACCGCCGACTCCGTTCATCCCTCCTTCGTAGCTGTAACCATCGACGTACTGACGCTAATGCATATTCAATGTTACACCCATGCCGGGAATATCCAGAACGACGTCCCGGCTGCTCTCCGGGAGAGACCCTACTGTTACATTCTTGTTTACGAGATGACTTTTCAAATTCTCTAATACCTCTAATATCACGGCTTTGTTCCTGCAGCTTTTCATTCCCGCGAGTGCTTCCTTACGGCGAACGTAAACGAATTGCCCCTCCAATTAACGATAAGACACTTTAATTCCTCGAGGCGTGAAATTTTTATAATGAAAGAAGCCCCAAGTCGTGCAGAAATTTTATCTCAATGAGATGCACGAAAAATGTCTCAACTTCAGTCGTTAGGCGTGTAAAGTGATATAAAATGAACGAAACGAAAAAGAAATAGATTAACACAAGTTATTTTCATCATTCAAGGAGGGTTGAAAAATATCCCACCGGTGTATTGAAAACGTGGTGGCATTGTTTAATCCACTATGCCCCGAGGATTTAAATCGGATAACAGGATGATATTTATCGGTTTATCGATCAAACGGAATTCTTCCCGATATTTTTATTATTCCGGCTTGTATTTACGATTGTTCCGCTTCTCACCATGCACACAAAAGATTCCATTGCAATTTTTCAATAGCACTACGTCCGTGGGTTGGATGATCGATCTCACTGCGCTGGATAAAACCTTTTCTCAGCACATATTCTCCCACACGTACGTACACGTGTGCGTATACCCAGAATCCTGCTGCTTATACGCTGAACTCCTTAATATTTCTCGGCAGTCTCGCGGCGTGCCATATGAATTTCGCGCGAGCTCGATCCAAAGGAATAGTAAGTTTCTATTCCAGCTTGTTCTGTGGAATTTTACGTCCGTGTTTCCGTGGAATTGCACGCCGCCCCGTTCCTTCTCACCGTCATTTGTCGTATTTTCCCACCGTTTTATATTTCCCACGGTTGAATTACTTTCCAGAATCGAGCTCATTTTTTCCATCGAAGAAACGTTTTACACGCGATCGTATTCATCTCGCCGTATCCTCGCCCCTCGGCGCATAATATCAACTCTATCCTCGCGTACCGATCTATCAAAGGTACGTTCATCCTCGCGAAATTTCGCTCGCGATTCGTAGCACCACCACGAATGCTACGTGACTGAATAATACATACAGAAATATCGTGCACAGATAAATAAGAATCGTAATAAAGCTCCGAAATGGGAACGTACGGCCGTTAACGTCGACGTAGTTGCGTCGTTAAACCATAACTCGTGCCAAAACTCGTCGAATACGGTCATTAATATCCCATTATCCCTTAAGGAAGAAATGTATGTTTCGCTAGATTCACACTAATTAATCCACGAACAAAGAGGCTAATTAAATTTCGAAATTTCGCACATCCATCTGGAGAGTGAGAGAATATCCCCTTAACGTTTAATTCCGCTGATATTCGGCCGAATTTACCCGATATAAGAAATGAAATGTTCCTTGCTTGATACGAGATCGACGTTTCATGAACGGCTCTGTCCTGTTGGAACACGTTGCACTCAGTGATAAAATCTAAGTGTTTAAGAAACGGCAGAGCGAATGAAGATGTACGAGCTGAGGGTATTAGGATACGGAGAGAAGAAGACGAATGAAACGGAGCGAGAGAAGGAAGGATGGCTTTCACCGTGGGGTAACTAAAACTACTTAGCCGAGGGGTTAAAAGGTGGAGAGTCATCGCGTGATCGTGGAACGTTATCCTAAAGCACATAACCCAGCCACCGGAGAAACAATCCGAAGGAAAAGGAAGGGTCGATTTTCTCCAGGGTGATGGAAGCACCGCCTGTAGGATCAAACCGCCTTTAGCGTTTACCAGGGATCTGCGATGATTCTCCATTCAGATATAGTTACATTTAATTTTCCAATGTCTTACAGGCACGCGATAGCAAATGAATTGATCATCATCTTAAGTACGCCCGATAAAATCGACTTTGAAACTTTCTTCCTGAAAATGATTTTCTTTGTTCTTTTAACTGTATTAACTCTTTCGCTACTCCTGGAATATGGATCGCAAAGAAACGTAAACACAGTAAAATCTTGCGTATCTGAACCACCGTTATTCAAATACTCTTAGACCTCTTATCTCTTATCTCTGAAATACAGAGTTTCTAGTTTACTAGAACTAAAATATACATTTCCATGTACTAAATTATTTTATAAGTATGTATTTTCATGCAGAATACATCCTTGTTTCTTCTACTGAAACACGAGACGCGAGATTTTACTGGAAAAATACTGATGGAACATGTAAAACATTGTGCTTAATTAATAATAAATCATCAGTTCGACTAAAGCTGTTTACACAAACTGAAACAGCAAACGTTTCATTTTAAAAAATTAGGCGATTCAACAACCAAAAACGAAACAGACAATTTTCTTAATCTCCACTTGAATTTCATTTAATGACTGCTTTATTACTCGAAAATTCTATTAACCAAACACTTCTGTCCCGCTGTTAATTCAGTGTATATTGCTTCAAGCGAAATGGGATTCCTCATTACGATTCCTTCAAATTAGATTCGACGTTGCCTCAACTTTCAATCCCGTTGCGGTATTTCGTTATTTAATATTCTAATCTACGAAACAGGCCGCCATTAAAGCGGAATTACGATCAAAAATCGCGTTGTCACGCTCGCGTCTCTCCAGAGAGTACAACAACGTCGACAGCATCCCCGGCAAGCCGATATCTTTGACCTATAAATTATAATATGTAAATTGCGAGCAGAGCAGAAACATCGAGGGGTTTCGGTGCGCGCAGTTCGTAGGGGGTAGATAGGTGGCCTGGCAATTACAGAGGCTTACTGTACATACAAATTGCTAGATACTCCCCGGACCTTGTTTCATCTCCCTCCGTTCCTCGGCACGTCTCTTTCTCCGCGGTATCATTTGCCAGCCTCTCCCTTCTGCAGAAGCCACGCAGAAGACGCAGTTATGTGAAAGCAGCCACTAGAAGGGTATTACCAAAGTAAGAAGTCAGCTTGATGGCTACCGCCGTAACTTGGTTTTTCGCTCCTATTCCTCTTCTCCTAATTCTCCTCTCCATAAACCTCCGTGGAGTGTCCTTACCGTCGTCGCAGCGGCTCCGCTGTCTTCTCCATAAACCTCTGTTGGAAGGCGCTTTAAAACGACACATTGGTAAACGTTGCGCATTTGCGAACCCCTGCCAACTAAGAGGATTTGTTTTACGCGCTGAAACATCGTCACCCGGAAACTACCTATCTCTTCAAACTTACAGTCCTCGATAGGTCGGATAAGGGCGTACAAACGACCAGCGTACGTTGCCTGAGTTTCGTACGTATTCCAACAGAGTAGATCACGTAAAATCCGGTTTTGAGCTATTAGTCACCCATGTGCTGGAGACATCTGATTCCTTGATGTCGAGTTCCGTGCCCCTAATTAGATATAAAATCATATTATCCTAATAGAATGACAATTTCAAACACTGCTTAGTATAAGTGTTACCTTTGTTCAAGGGTTAAAGTGTACTATAGGCATGCACGCACTCTGCACGCCTATCAGAACCGACTGTAAGCCCCGAGTAAAATAGACGTAGGCACCTCGTTAGGATTCGGGTCAGCGGCGTACAGTTGTTCCCGTTCTTTTGGCCAGCTACGTCTCGAGCGAGACGAAGCCCGAAGCTTTTGGAAGGGGAGGGAACCAACGGGACAAGGAGACAGCTGCAGAGGGTGGAGAGGTAGATGCCGGACAAATTATCCACCTTCCTCGTCCCCTTCTCAGCTTTCCAAACCATCCAGCTATCCAGCCATCCTGCGGGACACCCTTCCCAGCAGCCCCACGCCCTAATAGCTGCCTATGGGGACGCGATGGGACTCTCGATGGACTGGACGAAATCTCGTGCATTGTGCAATCCAGTCCTCTCTCCTCCTCGTTCTCATCCCTCTCGTTCCGCTCGATTCCAAAGAAAGTGAAGAAGAGTATATTCCTTCCAATTTGCCAGGGTTGTGCATTCGACGGGAGATGGAAAGATATTGGGGGAAGGAATTCTCTTTTTCTTCTCTTCTTTCACTTCTACTCTCCTCCCCGCCGCCACCCTTCCTCGTTCTCTTTCAACGTTCAATTCTACTTTTCCTTCCACGTCAATGAACACCAGGCGATTCTTCATGGCCGTACACACAGGTGAACCGTTATTACCATCGGCAAACTCTTACTCCCAGTCTCTCTTGGTAAACACAATGTTCTTAATGAACCGAACGGACTCCTTAATTCTTAATAGCGTGAACTTTTAAAAGAACTCGCCGCATCCGTATATAGAGTCCGTCGAGGATAAAGAGTTAAAGACCCGGGTCTTTCTTCTTCTCGTCAATCACTATTGCGAAATGCTGCAGCCTGTAATAAAAACTGAGATCAACAAAGATCAAGTGAATTTGAACGCTCTCTTTCTTAACAAGCAACACACTGTGTTATTTCTTGATATTTGAAATCCACACCCGAGTTATGTAAACGTATTATTATTTTATTTTTCTTCATGAGTAATGTCCCTGATAAAACTTATTTCAATTGAAAGACACATTCCTTTACTGATGTACCTTTTATTCTACGAGCTCTTGTAAAATGTTGATTACACAGCTTCGTTAGCAAGTTGTTCAAATTGAAAATCGATTAGTAGTCTGGAGTAAATGCTAGAAGGGATCTACTAAGAACCGAAATTCAGGGATATCAAGTTTCGCGAGATTCATTTGCCTCGCCTGTTTTGTATAGAACGCGGACAGGACACGAAGAAAAAGGGAAACAGATTCGCCGACTGCACTTGACGCAAACGCTTTTCTTTATAGGTCGAATTAAGGCGAGTTTACGCGCCATGTGTTGGGCTGCCATTTTACGACAGTCGAGGTGACTCCCATAAACCCAACGTTGGTCAAATAATTTCCCGTAATATTGTTGCGGTAAACCCTATAAAAGCACGATTTACTGCGCGGATACACGCGTGACGTGACATCATTACCGCGTGCATAATTTTTATATTAACCCCACGGCGAGATGATCGTTTTGTCCTAGAGCGGCTACGTATAACCCGCCCGTAATAAAATCTCATTTTCATGAATACGCGTGATTGTCAACCTACGCGCGCCGCCTGCAGCTTCATCTCTGCGAGACGATTTTATACGAGCCACGATCCGCCATTTACTCCGGTCATTCGGTTTATGGCTTTATTACCTCGCGATTGAAATTAAAATTACTCGTAATACCGGAATACGATGCAGTTCACGCTCGGAACAACTGGCGATAAGACTCGCAGAGGTAAGAAGAACTTGCAGAGAGACGAAAAACTTGCCGGTGATGTACGAGCAAAGGCACGAGGGACGTCAAAAGAAATACATAGGGAATGGGCAGAGGACTGTAAGTAACAACGGCCACGTCGTCCAAAATTTCGCCGATGAAACCAGGGAGAAATACCAGCGCGAGGACGATTGTAGAGAGGAGGCAACAAGAGGGATCATTTGAGGAAGATGTAACACGAGATCGTCTACTCGCTACGGCTCATAAAACCGCGCGTTTTATGCTGATGGCCCGCGTCTCGGAGACATTGGCACGAAGAAAAGCGGAGAGGAAGAGAACTGAAAGGGAGCGGAGATCTCTCGGCGAAGAAAAGTGCCTCGACGTTAGAGCGTCGATCAGGGGGTGGCCAAGCAAACGGGGCTGGCCAAGTGAAAAAACGATGTAGGCCGATGAGGCTCGTTTCTCTTCGGATGATTTTGGCATCGGAGCCAAACGCGAACAACAGATGTGCGTTATCCACACGAGATTTTCTCCGTTTCCATTGTTGAATGAAAGAGGCAGAGAAAAAGAAGTGAAACGAATCTCGATCCGATCTTTCGTCATCGTTGCCCTAATCGACAGATAGAAGCGTATTCATTTTCATCGAGCTGCTTTCGAGTCTTAAGAAAAATCGTTCACCTAATATTCCCAGTTTCCCAATTGTTTTCCAGTATTGAGAAACAGAAACGTTCTCCGAAAATCTGTGCAGAAATTGTGACACTAACACTTATGATATATTACGTCTTGAAAGATTCGAATCTACTTGTAAGATACTTCTGCTAATTGGCAGTAATTGGTATGTTCAATTGCACTTGGAATTGAATCAATCGGAAAGGAAATATCGGACCTACGCGCCGTTGGACAATGTCGTTTGACTGACAGCGAGCGTGCAATTTTAAAGCGGCTGGACCCTTCAAACAATCTCTTCCCTCGACTCTGCCGTTGGAAAACGTCCGACCATGCACGACCACGAACTACTTACAGCCACTTTGCCGCGGGAAAATCGATAACGGATCCGCCGTTGCGCAAATTATCAGGGTCGGTGAAATATTACACCGGAAAAGAAGGGACGGTATGCATACCACGAACGAAGACATCAACGCGACACGGCGGTGTTACGCGGCTTCTTTTTTTCCACCCTCCACGAACGACATAATCACAGGGTGAAATTAATCATTTTAACGGGCCGAAACGACGGCTTGAAAAAAAGAAAAAAAAAGAAAGAAGAGTCCTTTAAAACCGCGCAGTCATCTCGTCCCCGACACTTAACACGTTACTTTCTTATTTGGCAACGTTTATTCCCGCGTGCTGGCAAAAAAGGAAAGAGGATTTCGCCGGGCTTTATTTCGGTCGCGAGAACTTAATTGCAATGTACCTGCGCGCGGAGGAGGCATCGAAATATACAAAAAACAGAGCAGCAGAGACCTAACCCGAGGCTAGGAAGAAATTAAGTGGATTAGTACCTTAATGGCGAGACGGTGGTGAACTGAAATAAATATGGTGCTCGCTGGGGAACTGGCTGAATGTAATTATGCGGCTAAGCACTTAGCAATTTTCAACAAGAGGGAAAAATGCATGTATGTACGTACAGGATGTTCCGAGATGGTTTTTATTAAATTGACACACAGAAAAAATCAAACAAATAAAAAAATATAGTGTTATTTGGAGCATTTATTAGCAATTGGAAGGAACATTAAGTAAATTAATAAAGTACAATGATTTTCGACTTCGTGGCTCTGTGTAATTATTGATAATAATCAATCATTAATCTCAACGAAGCCTATAAATTTGCCAAATTCAAGTAGAAATTTGCTTCATCTACTGTGTATCATAATAAATATTCTAAATATTTACATGCATAAAAACAACCCTCTAGTGATAATTATATAATAACCAACATTTGAAACAATGATTTATTTATCAACAAGAAATTATGGAGTTTTAAACTCTCATAAATATAGCTACAGAAATGGAACCTAAATAGAAATTTGCTTCATCTACTGTATATCATGATAAATATTCTAAATATTTATATGCATAAAAACAACCCTCTAGTGATAATTATATAATAACCAACATTTGAAACAATGATTTATTTATCAACAAGAAATTATGGAGTTTTAAACTCTCATAAATATAGCTACAGAAATGGAACCTAAATAGAAATTTGCTTCATCTACTGTATATCATGATAAATATTCTAAATATTTATATGCATAAAAACAACCCTCTAGTGATAATTATATAATAACCAACATTTGAAACAATGATTTATTTATCAACAACAAATTATGGAGTTTTAAACTCTCATAAATATAGCTACAGAAATGGAACCTAAATAGAAATTTGCTTCATCTACTGTATATCATGATAAATATTCTAAACAACCCTCTAATGATAACTATATATAATAACCAACATTCAAAACAATGATTTATTTATATTAACAAACAATTGCCGAAACACCTTGTATATAGACAGTACACACGCAGACGGAAGAAAAAGAAGGAAGAACGGAGAAAAAAGTTAAAAGTTATTGAGTATCTGAATCTCGTTACAAACCAATATACTTCTAGGCAATTATTTTTTATCCCCTCTTTCTGGCCGATTCCCTTTCCAAACACAATTGAATACGATCGCTGGGAGAAATAAATTCGCGATAGGGAAATGAGCAGCGCAAGGGGCTCGTAGACCGGAAAGGAAAGGAGAGAAAGAAAGAGAGAGAGAGAGAGAGAGAGAGAGAGAGAGAGAGAGAGAGAGTGAGAGAGAGAGGGCACAAAAGAAAACGAGGGCGAGCCGTTAAAAGTTGAAGACGCGTTTGCGCGGAACTGTTTCATTGTAATAGCCGAAGTTCTTGGTCGCTTCGCGTTCACCCTGGCCTTTATTATTTTATATTTCGTGGCACGACGGCGCGCGGAGATAACAGAAATTATACGTACGTTTTCAAAGTGAAACAACCGTTAGCGGAGCGACGTAGAACTTTAATTCGCCACGATACCAACTTGCCCGATTTCATCTTCGCGGATGGCCCACAGAGAGGCCAGAGAAGTCTGATTCCAAAATGATCCGCGACTCCCACCCTAATTCCTTCGAGCGGACGATTAAAATACGAATTTCATCGTCTGGCATCGACGGAGAAATTTCGAAAATTTCGTCAGAGAGCATCCCGCGCGGAAATTAAGCCACTAATGAGAGCCAAGTCACAAATGAATCGACGCGACGTTAAAGCCTTCCGTCCCAACTGTAATTACTTCTTTCACTCCCCTTTATCGTCTTTTTTTCAAACTTGGAACTCGTTAGAATAATGCCGGCCCCGCGCGGCCGAATTATTATCGAGAAGCAGTTCCACCTCTTGCGGAATTATTTATGCGGCCACGACGTTACCGAATTTAATAGTCACAAATTGAGGTATCAAGATTAATTGGGACATCAATTAACAAATTACATCGTTATTCAGTAGCACTTAACAGCCCCGATCGAATTTATGTGTAGATTTCAGGGAAAATGGTTAATTATTACCTTGCAATCAATTACCACGGCGTATTAAACGATGTAGAATTATGTACATCAATATTATCGGACTGACCAGAATCTTCTTCGTTCTTTTGCATATTAAACGATGCAGAATTATGTATATCAATGTATTGTCAATTGACCAGAATCTTCCTCGCTTTTTCTTCAGTCCGACTTCTTCTGGCCATTCGAGAGATTATTATTCTATATCAATATATAACACATTATGGAATATATATATATATATATATAGATGATACAGAATTGCATATTAGCAGTGTCATCGAACGTTACCCTGGCGCGTTTCTGCGACGCGATCAGTTAGTTGGGTGGACACGTTGCTTACTCCTCCGACATCCGGCTAACACGCACAAGTGCGTTCGACGCACGTGTTACGGACTGGCCGCGAGCTACACGCATGCACGATCGTATATAATATAGTGGATCTGAATCCTCTGTAATGTAATCATGGCTGACACAATTAATCACTGGACCATCCAACCCTGCCGAACCATTAGCGATCGGGACACTTGGTTTCACAGGGGGATGCGTTTCGTATCTCCACGCTTCAAAATGCATTGTATTCGTGCGCAAAATACAGATACGCAGTGGCACAAACGACACACGAATCCACTCACGCCAACATTATACAGATACCTAAAAAGGAAAGAAAAATGAAACTAGTTGAAGCAGCTGGAAAGATGAATTTGCGCGCCAAATCTTTCGAGCACAAATTAACGAGTTGTCTCTCAACAATTGAAATTTAGAATTTTTGATTTTATCCAGCGATGGAAATTAGTTATGGAATTCAATTAAATTAAAAATTCTAAAACTGATATAATATATTAGTATAATATTATTATAACAATTGTTATAATTTCCATATATATCATCCATATAATAATATATAATATATCATTCCATATGTATTATTATAACAATTGTTATAATTTCTATATATATATCATCCATATAATAATATATATCATTCCATATATATTATTATAACAATTGTTATAATTTCTATATATATCATCCATATAATAATATATATCATTCCATATATATTATTATAACAATTGTTATAATAATAATATATATCATCAATATAATAATACATATCATTCCATATATATTATTAGAATAATTGTTATAATTTCCAATGACCCAAAACAATTGGAAATACAAACTAACGAAATGTGCTTAAATTTGTAATTTATTGAAAGCAAATATATAAACTCGTTGGAATTTATAAGAATCATCGCAAGAATGAGTATCCTTTCAATTTATACAAATATTGTGTACAAAAGTTTCGACGTATGAAAAACAGTCTGTCGAAAGTCGAGACCGATCGAAAGTTTCTCGTTTACAATTAACGATTGACTAGCTCGAAATTTTCGAGCCGTAACGTCGATTGGCCCTCCAACTGGAGGAGTCGATGATCGTTAGACCGTTTTCGTCGAATTTCACCGCGCGATGCGGGCTTGTGATTAATTGGCGGCGTTGTTTCTCGTTAGTTTATTGCATGATGAAGCGACTCGTCTATCGACCTCCATCGATGGCTGATTGGCTCCGATATCGCGGAAATCTAGTTCAGAGACGTGTCGCTGCCCTCGCGCGTATCACGTTTAAACGGAACGCAGGGCACGACGCTGAAAAGCACGGTCGATCGATGAGCAAAAGGGGAGAATCGCAGACATCGCGGCAGGCTAGTAGCAGGCTTGATTAACTTCACTCGGTCGGGCAAGTTGAAAAACCTTCAATACGATCTTTATCGTGTACTGTAAAGAACTACTACCACCGGTAATTAATTATACAGAAGAGGAAGTTTCACCCAAGTTTTCTCATTTTTTCCATGAAAAGATCTCCTTCTTACTACCGCTCTCTCGTTCTCTATTTATCTTTCTTCCTTCTTTCTATCACGCTGGAAGTACGATCGTTACTTTTAATAGAGCTTCCAGGGGCCAACAACTAAATCTCGATGTGAACTGATCACGACGCACGCGCGCAATCTCCGCTTTGAAACTAATTTTCCGACGCAGCTACCGGAAGCTGATTCCTCCTTTCTTTCGCTTCTTTCCCTCCTCTTTTCTTTTTTATCAAAGTCAACAAGAAGGAAAGTTTGAAGGCAAGAATCTACAACACCCTTCGAAACAAATTGATACACGTATAGTAAACAAGCGCTTACTGTCCAAGTTACAACCGCTTTATCTTTCTCTTTCCTTGTTCCGCCTTCTGCAACGTTAATTACACGCGAAGCTGTATACCAGCACGAGAACGGTAAGAACTAAGTACCCGAGGTAGACGAGTCGCGTCGCCGCTAGTGGGAACGGGGGAACAGGATATGGCCTATTGGCTATGTAGCGAGAAAAGACTGGTAAGAAAGAGAAGAGGCAATAATACCAAAGGATCCTTGGAAAACGGCCAAAGTGTCAGCCGTAATATCATAGTCGTTACTTGGAACATCCCAGACGTACGTCGTGCGAATGAGCATTTTATTTTCTGACAATGTGCACGTGCGCGCACACCTTACACAAATAAGCATCAATTTCGCTCAGCAATCGAATCAGATCGCGTGCCATCATATTTGATTTCCTCTTCATCGGGCTGCCGTTTTTCTCTTGCGTCTTATCCTCCGTGTAAAGTGGATATGAACATTATCGTGTCGCCTGAGTTTATTTTGTAATTACCCTCACCCTGAAAATTTTAATGAAATTGCCATTATCGGATATAGCTTCTTCATTTCTTACAACGTAAGTAATAAAGAAAACGAAAAAAAGGGTATCAAAACGGCGAAAATGAAACGGCAAGAGAACAGACATATATGCAAGTGGTGTAAGAATGGCACGAAAAGAAAACAGGACAAGAAGTGGCAGTATAGTCGAAGCCCCAAGAAACGTCGGTATTATCATAATAATGGCTGAAGCTATCATCCTTTCCGCATCTGTTCTCAAACTCCCCTGCAGCTAACGCAACTCCTCCTTTCTTTCTTTCCTCGAACATGCTTCAGGAAACAGAGCCTAATAGCAGTCGTGTTTTGTACATTTACAAATTTAACATTTACAAATTTAACCGGTTTCAATATAAAATTCAAAATTGTACATTCATTGTTATTTCTTTTGTTCATCTAACTTTATGTAAATTCTTATATTATCTGAGTAATCAATTTTTTTCAATTTTTTTTTTTTTTTTTTTTTTTTTTTACTGAGGAAAATTCATTTGACCAGTAAAAACAACGACAAATTTACTTCTTTTTCTAAAGCTCTCTGCCTAGGACCTCAGCTCTGATCACAAGTAAAAAGCAGTTCAAATAACCGGTTACGAAGAATAGGTGAAGTGCCTGTACGATTAGTGTTTAAAATGATAATTCTGCCGTGGGTGTGGCAAGCCTTCAAGATCATTTGCACCCTTTCACCGTCGGATGTTCTCTTATTTCCTGTCCTCAGGCTGCACTTAAAACCAAGCACACCGTAGATTGATTATGCGGTTCGCAAAAAATTCCGCGACGGAATACTTTCACTGGACATTTGTCAATTATCGTTCCCAAACGGGTGTCTCACCCCATCTCGATTACGTCCAACGCGATTACTGCTCCATGCGAATCGCGTATTTTTTATAGTCTCTCTCGTGTAAATGTGAAAATTTATCGCATATGCGCATTCACAGTGAAAAAAGAAAATGCTCAGTCTACTAATTTAAAATATTATTGGGAAAAATTGTTTAAATTGTAATAAAATATAATTTCATGATTTACCAACAACTCCCAATCGGTGTCGTTTATGAGGACCAAAATTCCCGGTCGTCTGCAAATATAAAATAGTGTATGAAATAGATATGATATATTAGAGATTTGTTGTTGATCTAAAATTCAACATGCGAATTTTATGCACTGAATGAATTTAGAGCATGTAACTTAATCTGAATTGTGCCGCCCTCTCAAGTAACATTGTGGAAGTCGCAAGCCGCCATGTTGATTGTACATGCTAGAATTGGTAAGTCGAATTGATATGATAATACAGTGATACAATCGCGTGTGTTACTGAAGAGCCATACTGTGTTTTGAGTATCAATTCATACGACATTGTAAACTGTTACTTGGGTTATTCTTGGCGCTAATATTTTATGACATGATTTAATAACTTACACGGTGTCGTCCTGCATGAAAAGTTCCGGTCGTTCTTTCAAGAGGTTATCTTTCATCCAAAAAAGTAGCTTCTGTATAGTCCCTGCAAAATTTCATGTCACGAATCTGACATCAAGATTTCACACAGAAAAATTTTATAGAACTTACAGTCGCTTCCCGGTAAGTTCACCGAGTGTTTTTTCCTTTTGTCAAAGAGCAATTCCGCCCCGCCTCTGAAATTATTCACCGAATAATTTGATCTACATATATCGTTATCGTCATTAAATCAGGTTAGGTTAGGTATCGATTTGACATTACCCAAGTTCGATGATCACTGAAATTCCGTTACTTTCGATAGACATGCTTTTTCTTCACTTCTTCTCTAAATTGCGTTTCTAAAGTCTTTTGTAAATACTGCCAATTATTGCTACCTAATTTCAGACGAAATATCGTTCACTGCGCATGGAAACAACATAAACGACGTTACAGTCCGATTCCATGTTCCTCGTATTCAACTAATCAGTGGTGTATACATGTTGCAAAACACGAATTTCCAAATTCAAGATTTAAAAAAAAAGAAATTATATTTCTCTCTCTTAAATATTTTAGAATTTGCAGAAATTTTGCACAATTGATTGACGATTTGATATCATTACGTAAAATTCGAAAGAAATAATTGTTTTATCAATTATTTGTCACAAACAACACAAATTTATTATTGACATTAGTAGTAATATATATCAGTATTAAAAAAAAAAAAATTATATTAAATACAACGTAAAACAGATATGTACCTCTTGAATCCAACACAAAGTACATCCCTGTGTATTCGCGGGTCATTAGTCTTGATAATTATGAGTTGCGTGGCGAAGGTTTCGTCGCGTATGATTAAAACATCAGTCGATAGTAAAATAAAGTTTGTTAATTAAAAATAATATTTGAGAATGTAATTGTTGTCGGACAGAATAAAAAAAGTTACATTTGACAAAAATGTAGAATGTCGAAGATGAACTGAAGTGCAGGTGCGATCAGCGGCAGCTGTAATGGCGGTCGTCGGGAAAGTGAAATCGCAGGCGTTAAATATCCAAAGAACGAAATAGCGCGCGTTCGTTGCGGGTTTGCGATTTATTTCGAACTTTTCGTCATCGTGCGATTCTATATAATTGCGATACGTTTGCCCTGTTCAGTATCAATTTCCACAATGTCGGGAAAAAACGAACATACTTCGGAGAAAGCCGAGGCGAAAATACATGCGGAAAATCACAATAAAGAACAATTGAAAAATGAAACAAGCATGTTGAACAATGAGACGGAGCAACTGATGTTAGAAGATGAAGAAATGCCAACGTATATTAGCGTATCTTCACCGTCAAAGCGCGAAGATTCGGATATCAATAATACAAAAGAGCCGGACAGAATCCCAATAGAGGAAGACCACAGTCGAAGTCCTTATCCTACTGATGATCAAGGAGGAGGTAGTATCTATGTGTTGTCTTCTGGTGAAGACAGTAATCATCCATATAATGATGAAGAGGAAGATGAATATGTAGATAGTGAAGGTATGTAAATGACGTATAAGTATTATTTGATTTAATAAGATTACATTGGAACATAATATATGTACACAGATATGGAAGAAATGGATCTTGAAAATGAGCATGATAATACAATGTTGGACGATGAAGAAGATGAGGACGAAGACGATGATGATGATGAGAATCCTTTGAGACTGCATAATGATGACGACGAAGATATTGAGACAGAATATGAACCAGAATGTTTTGATAGAGTTTCCGATGACTTTGTCTTAAATAATAGATTAAAGCAGCATCATAAGGAAAGAAGTTTATCATTACAAGATCTAAGTACTTTAAAAAACAACATTCATTCATCATATAATAAAAAGAGGCATAGTTTAAATATTTTTAGGCATAATTATTTAGGTATACAACAAAATCCAATATTCTATCCTGTTGCACAAAAAAGGCAAATGATGAAGTATCAACATGTAGAAAGTAAAGTGAAGCAATACATAAAAGACATAAAAGAACAAAATAGAAAGTCAATGGAAAAGCGTATGAAAGAACAGGAATTTATAATGAATAAAAATCATAATGAAAAAACTGAAAGTAAGAAATATATTCGTATGCAATTGTACATCCAATTACAATTTGGATATTCATATTTGGGAGATATGTCTGCTTGTTGCTATTATTGAAAAAGTATAGTTCATCAACTTTGAACAAAATAACATGGCATTCTTCCATATCAATGAATAACCAAAATTTTAAAGCTAACAAGTTATCTATAAACAATAATTTTTACTTTTTACTTATAGACAATGATCCTGAACAATTGAAAACAAAGGTTACAAATAGAACTATAAAAGATTATGCTGAAAAAGCGATACAAGATTTACAACGTGATGAAACTGAAAATGATAATCTAATGTACAATACAGAACAAATATTAGAGAATGGAGAAAATAACAAAAGCTTTAATAGAGTCATTGGAAATCAATATAAATACATTCGAAAGGATTCTGAATACAATGATATATCAAATGAATTGAAAAGTCAGGGGTCAGTCAAAAATCAAAGTCAGAGGGATGCAGAATTTTTTAATTTGCAACGTGCCTACAAGAAAATGTTGGCAGAAAATATAAAACGTGTGCGAAATTCTGATAAACTAGAAAAACGAAATGGTTCTGTAGATGTTAATACTCATCATATTGAATATCAAATTGAAAATGCTTTAGAGAGAAACATAAGATTTGGTATAAATCAGTCTTCTTCAGTTAATGGTCACCAGGCAACGCCCACATTTATTAATTTACGTACATTAAGCTATGAAGAATATATGCGTGGTGCCTCTAATACCGAACAAAAAGAAGAATTACCGGATCAAAGACAAGAAAAAACAAACGAATCTGAAATATATAATGAAGCAGAAATGATCAATGCACAAGAAATTGATAACAGCAATACTAGTTACCCTTTGAAAATTGAAAGCGTTGAAAGTATCGGCGCAATGCAAGATGAACCAGGAAATTTTGGAAAACTCAATGTAACTGAAAAAATGAATGTCGAAAACATTGAAATAACTGAATTGAAAAGTCAGCTTAATCAAAAAGATGCAGAATTTCTTAATTTGCAAGATGCCTACCAGAAAGTATTGGCAGAAAATATGAAAATGAAACAAGAATTAGATGCTTTAAAACAATCTTTAGTAAAATATAAAGATCAGAATAAAACGTGTGAAACGAAAATTGCATCAGTACAAACTGAAGCAGTTGTAGAACCTGTTTCTAATCAAAATACTGTAAGTTCAGGAGAAATAAATAATAAAATATCCACTAGTAGTGTTGCATCTACAATAAGCTCTATTGATCAATGGGCAGATAGTGCTGGTAGTCCAGCTATATCCATTAAACTCCCTGATCTGACTCCAATTCTTAATTCTGATGATAGTATTGTCCTCACTGATAGAGCTACTCCAAGAAAGATAGCACATCCATTTTCTCGAACATTTATTACTTCATCTCGAATTTTGCAAACACTTTCAAATATACAAGGAAAGACAAAAACTGAAAGTCCCTTAGCAAGAAACACCAAAAAACGATTAAATGAAAATTCCACAGATCAACCATCGACTGTAGAATGTAATTCTCCAATCCATGCATCAAGTTCCAAAAAAAGGAAAGCAACAGAAATGCTTGGTACTTCTACATTTACTCAACCTTTCAAGATACCTCATACAACAGTAGAATCTGAGAGAAAAGATACATCTGATGTAGAATTTAAATATCCTGAGGAACATACAGTGTCAAACACTGAACAAAAAGAAAAGGGATCAGTCAATAAAGATAGCTTAATTGATCAGTCAATCAATGATTTCACGCCTGTAGAAACTAAAGTAAAACAGAGAGACGATCACGAAGACAGTGTAAAATGTTTCATATACAGGGAAGATGAAAATAGTAAAAATAGAAGTTTTTTAATTCAGGCAGAAGAACCTACAAAAGATGGATTAGATACTGAAAAGAATCGAATTCAAGAATGTGGTCCATATTTATTAGGTAATCTTGAAGTAAGAATGTCTGAAATAAATGGAACGATTAGTGTTTGGGGTAAAGAAATAGATCATGAGTCTACAAGTGACAATGAGGATGATCTGGAAGCCTGTGAAAAATTATCTGAACAGAAAATGTGTCATTATTGGCAAAATGCATCACAAACGAGATTTAACGGAAGTCCACTTGTATGTTCAACTAATAAAAAGCAGAAAGTTCCAAGTAACAAATTCAATAGATCCGATATTTCTCAATGTTGTCATTCTTTATCATTAAATTCATCAAAAATATCTTACTCTGAAGATGATATAAATGACAAAAGAGATATGAATAATTCTTTCAGCCCAAGTATTTGTGTTCCTTCTTGTGAAAACTGTAATTCTTCAAAACATCACAAAGAATGGACATGCAGAAATGCGTCGAGTTCACAAGAAAAATTACATTCCTGTTGTATGCATCACATTGAAGTCATAGATAAAGAATGTAGTTGTAGTTCATGTCATGAGAAACAAAAACATGATGTTAGCTTTAAACATTGTAAAGATAAGTTTCACAGCAAAGAAGTTCGTAGGAATTCATGCAAAAATACATTTCCATTAGATTTGAAAAATTCTTTACATGAAAACAATCCAAGCACCACTGCCGAACTGAGTAATGTAACTAACAAATATGCGTGTCGATGTTCAATTCAAAATGTATCGGATAATAGACCACATTCAAGATGTTGCAGCCCTATTAGAGATATTTCATGTACGTGTAAATCATCCTTGGACAATACAAATAATCATTCGGACGCAATACTAAGTAATCATCATGAACATTCTGACAAACACACATGTAATCGCTTTTCAAATAATGGTGAAGAAGAACCTCTAATCCCAATTAAACGATCTAGTGAAACGCTTGAAGTAAGATAACTAAAGCATAATTATAAATTTAACAAATATGTCAAAAATGTTATTTTACTCTTTTTTTCTCTATGTAGACGAGACAACGAAGACTGAGTGGTAAAAGAGTAAGAGGAATTCTTATGGATCTTTTAAAAGGATGTGGAGATTGCCGTAATAATAGTTCTGCTGGTTTAAGTAAAACTGAATATCAGAAAGAAACACCCTATATGATAAATGGTCCTCCACGAATTAAGGTTTCATCTCTTACACCCGAGCCTACATGTTCTACTTCTACGCAATGCAACAAGTAACTATGTTATATACATTGTCGTAAAGACAATACATATAATAGATAAAATACGTAAGATGATATGTATGATATGTATATTTGCTTACAGATGTTGTCATGCATATGCACGCCGAATTGAGTCTCAACTTGAAGAATTTCGAATGGAAATGGAAAGAGTAAGATCGCGATCTGATGCAATATTAAATATGCTCAATATGCTTCACTCTGTGGATGCGAATTAATGAAACTTATACAATTCTAAATAAGTGCTTCTTTCCTTGTACAGATCATTATTCTAATTTCTTTAAGTCGAGTTTTGCACTATTGTCATAAAAAATTCTTATTTACTTCTTCTATTTCATTGCATATAAGGAATACATGAACATTTTGTTAAAATATATAAATAAAAATACATGCTACATTGTACCAAATACGTTATTTTTACTATGATTCAATTTTTGCGGCATTGGTCAATATAACAGCAAATAAATTTCGTGAGTTTTATTATTATATATAGTTTTATTATAACTATTTGTTAATAAATTTAATTTATCAACAGTTGGATGAATATATTTACGTACATGAACTGGAAAATTTTTGTTACGGTCTAAGGAAGATATTTCACACGTAATTTAAACAATTCAGTAAGATAATATTTAACTCGTTAAAATTTCAATTCTATATCAATAAAATACTGATTAATTTCCTATTTTAATAATTGCAGTCGCAGGAATCGAATCCAGTCTCTCCGGGTAAAACACCAGGTGGCACCTCTCCTTGTCCCTTAAAAATGTTGCTGTAAGATGTTTTCAAATAATTTACGTGACCTTGCAATGATCTTATCCGACCTTGAGCCTGTTCAAATGCCTCATTTAAATTGTTTATCTGACCTTGCATTTTCTGTCTAATCTATAAGATAAAATAATAGTTAAGGCGTAGTTAATATCTAGATAGAAAGAGATAGACTTTTTGACCGATAAATTACTTCGTCTCTATCTTTTTGTGCAGCTCTTGCAGTAGCTCTGCATTGAGCTAATTGTCGTTCCATTTCTGCAATTTGGCCTTGCATAGATCTCCTCATAGTTTCACATCTTTCTTTCGTTCTTGCCACTTGTCTCGCAGAATCCTCTCGTACCTTTGATATTTATTAAAATTACCATACGTTTCCAGACAAAATATGCAACATACTTGTTCGAGCATTGCTGTCAATTGTGTGACTTCGTGCATTTTTTCATCGATGCGTTTCTGTAGTTGTGCATCGTGCTCTTCAAATCTTGCAAGCGTATTTTTCATACGTTCGTTCTCATGTCGTAGTTCGGTATTTTTTCTTTCTAATTCATCGAATCGTCCCGACCCATGGCCTCTTTCATCCTGAAAATCATTACACACAAATCTAAACGATTTACGAAAAACCATTTTTTTTTTTTTTTTTTTTAGAAAACGAATTGACAAAAAAATATTAACCTGCATTGCTTGGTGCTCTTGACGCAAAACGTCCAATTGATTTTGCAGAGTTTGAATTTTATCTTTACAACCTATGACTTCCCGCGAGAGATCTTCGCAGTTACGTTCTGCAACCAAACGCATTTGTTGCGCTTCCTGTAATTTCACTTGTGTCTGTTTCAGAATGTCCGGCAAGGGAGCAAGTTCTGCTAGTTTTTCTTGGAACTGATTCTATTTAAAAGAGTAGTAAAATGTATCAAATTGATGAGAACATTATACGTAATTATCTACATACTTTTACTCTGCCAATTTCTAAGGTAACATTTTCGTTCATCCGTGCATTGTCCATCTCCATAAGATCAAGTTGTCGCCGTTGTTCTTCTACTTGTTGTTGCGCCTGTTTTTTTTTCATAATTATTTTTATATATTATTTATATTAATATTTTAAAGAAAATATGATAAATGAGAAAACCTGTAAGTATTTATTTCGATAATCCTCCAACTGAGCAGCTTGGTCCTGAATCAAGGATCGCAATTCTTCAAGCTCGTCTTGAGCTTCTCGAAAACGTTGCTTAAAGACGATCAACGCTTGCTCTTGCTCGACCATTTGCTCCTTAAAACCTAATATTTAATTAATTGTATTGTATAATTAATTATATTCGAATTGAAAAGCACTCCGATAAATAATCACCTTCGTATTTTTCTTTTTCAGCTTCCATCGCCTTCAAACGTTCTTGAACATCTACAAGTTTAATTTCTAATTTTTCTTTCTCTTCAATAGTTTCACGTGTTTGTTGTTTCAGTTTATCAGCATCTGTTCTTAAACACGAAACCTCGCATAATTTGTTTTTGTAATCATCTTGTAGACGTGCATATTGTTCGCGTAGGTCACGTAACTGTTGCTGAGGACATGTGCTAGCGCCCTTTTTTAAATAGCTGCTTTAGTTCATGTTAAATCTTTTTCTGAAGTTCAATCTTACCATAGGAGCATTTACGCAAGGACCAGTACAGGTTGCAGAAGGAGCAGGCGGTATCTACGTACGATGAAAAACGATCTTATATGATATATAGTATATCACCCTTAATAAAAATAAAATATCTGAAACTTTTCGGAAAATATGTTTATTTCGTGTAAAATTATGTATGACACATTCAACAATTTTATCGACATACGACATTTTATCTTCAAACGAGTGACAATATTTACAATCAAGTTATTCGAAATATTGAGTGGATACCTTAGGAAGAGGTATAGAAGGCGGCTGTACAACTGGTACAGGAGGTGCGTATGCAGGAGATCCGTTTGGTGTCTGAAGAGTCAAAGGTGAAGGAGGACAGCAACCACAAGGTGCACAAGGACCAGTACATTTCAATAACTTTCGTTGTTGTTCCAATTGTTGACGTTCTCGTTGAACATTAGCAAGCTCTATTTGCATATTCCGTACTTCGCATTCCATGCTACCCAATTGTTGCTCCTATAAAATACACCAATAAATAAGCATAGAAATTGAACTGAAATTACATTATACATATTTTGAAGATGTACTAGCTGTTTGGTACTGTTCCCATAAGCCGCAAGTTTATTCTCTATTTCTGCAGGACAAGTTCCCCTTGGAGGAGGTGGTGGTCCTGTACATGGTGTTTTAACTGTAGCGGGACTTCGGCAACACATGTCGATTTGAGAAGAAGCACCACTTGTAACGCAAACACCTGTTATTGACGCGCCACCCGCGAGCCTTGGTGAATCTAATAAAAATATTTAAAATAACAATACTTATTAATTTTTCAATCAATACACAAAATATATATTTTCTTTTTTTATTGTAATAAACATATGTAGCTCACCTCCGCTAGGTAAATACGTATGACTCAGTCTCACTGTAACACGTTAAATCTCATCATACTGAATTTAAAAAAAATTATAAAATGAAAATCTTAAGAAGTTTGTTGAGACACGTACCGCATACGGTATTTGCGTCTGGTGACAAAGTATCAGCTATTTGAGGTTGGACGCAACACTTGCATCGACAATAATCGTCGTCTTGCTGTAACGTATTGGTGTACGAAATTGAACGTAGAGGAGACGGACTTGATACTTCGGACGAAATTCCACCTGGACAACAAGGTGTGTAACAACAAGGACTAGTGATTCGTTGATTCAAGCAAGCTAATTGACGTGTCAGTTCCACATTTTCCTTCACGACTATTCTCATTTCAGCCTGTAACCCGCATACCTTCCTCTGAAGACTCTCAACGGCGGTATCTTTTTCTAGCAATGCTTCTTCCAATTTGTATCTAACATATCAATAAGTTAATTTTTGTAACAAAGACAAGATCACATGGTTCATGTTAACATATTTCCATTAACAACAATCTGTGCAATCGTCGTTAAGGAAACTGATTAGTTTTCACATATTTTAATCGATTCTCTACTTTTTTTTTTTATATCGAAAAGCACAAACCATTTATAAATTGCGTATGTAATTGTTGTGTAAAATGAAGTTATCTCACAAAACTTACTTGCCACCTTCAAGCTGTGCATTTTCTAATACTAATTTTTCCTGCATGGTCAACGATTCTGTTAACTTTCCCGTCAAACTCTGAAGACATCTATCTTTTCCTTTCTTTTTACTGTCTGCCACAACAATTTTTGGAATTTCATCTTCCGTATTTCCGCAAACAATTACTCTTGGAAGTCTGATTGAACAACCAAATAAATTTTAAAAACGTATTCTAATGAAATAAATGACGTTATAACATACTTGTCTTCTGGGTACTCTATCTGAGGCAAGTCGAAACGTTCTCTAAGCTTCTCTATTTCTACATCCGTCTTTTTATCTATCATATCTACTTTTTCTTTTATTATTTCAAATTCTTCCTCCTCGGCAATGATCTATAAATTATTTTTTTCATACACTTCACCGCGCTACTTGCCTCAATGATCGATAAAAGATACTTACGGCAGTGGGTTTCATAACGGGGTGCATATCAAACATCTTGGCAAAAGTAGTGCTCGAGATGTCGGACAAACCTAATAGTCGTTGCAGCTTCCGCGTTATCTGTTCGAATTCTGTCAGCTTTTTCATCACTTCGTCCTGCTTCTCATGTATTATTAACGTATCTTCATCGGTTAAATCTTTTTTCTGTAATATAAAGCAATCTCTTTTAAATCTTGATATTTCGTACTTTAAATTTTCAGCATTTTGAATTTCAAATTTCATTTTAGCTTATTCTTCCTAAAATCATTACAATTGTGAGCGTAGCTATTTCTTGCTTCAGCTGCTCAATTTCTTTTGCAAGCACAAGGCAACGATCGTCTGCTCTCTTCATTTCCATCATCACAGCGCTATCAGTCAAAGGAGATGAACTCAATATCGATTCATTTCGTCCACCAGGTTTAATAGGCGCACCTGAATAATGTATAAATTTTGTAGAAACTGTATTTTAAAAAATTTTTTTTTACTGTCCTTTTATTACTGTTAATTTTATTATTACTGTCCTTTTCTACATTTTTGTTTCCTGAATTTGCAATATTATACCTTCGCCAACACCAGGAGGAAGCGGATATGATGGAGGTCGCTCTTCTAATTCTTCTATTTCTTCTTTCTCTTTTGGTGGTTCTTCAACTTCTTCAAATTCTTCTTGAACATCTTCTATTTCTTGAATATCTTCTTCGACTTCTTGAACATCTTCTTCGACATTTTCGTCAGGAACTTCTTGTATTTTTACATCTTCCTCAGCCATTCTTTATAATTGAATAAATTTAATATTTAACATTAACAAGATGCCCTCGAAAACAAAATACTTTTATACTTTTTTTCTGATTCTTTGTCTTCTTGATCAAAATTTTCAGTGTCTTTTAATGTTTTCAATGTTTCAAAATTCGATTCTTGCTTAATTTCCTGCGATGTACTGTTAAAATCATCTATCTCGTAAGTCTGTACAAATTATTTTAAATTAACTTATAACAATCTGTTTGTTTTTATGTGCGCTGATGAATATAACTAAGGAATAGTTTATTAACTATTGCATAATTTAAATACAAATAATACCAAAATCACACCCGTTCAAGAATGTGCGGTTCAAGCTCCACTTGTTGCAGAGACAGCAATTTTAAGAGAGTCTTAGAATTCTTGGGATTTTTTGATTTAAAAGGTACTATGTGACCCTCTTGATGATGCTTGATCGTCAACGAGCATACATCCGGTAAATTTAAAGGTTTTTTCAAATCGAACAAAGATTCTAACGATCCAAACGCATCTCTCTTCAATGAAGGTTCCTTGAATTCCGCATTCTTTTTGTGCAATTTCGGGCTATCTCGTTTCAAACGCTTCAAATCGTGAAAACTTTTGATTTTAACAGGTAAACCATCGAGTTCGCGAGTACGAAGAGACGACGGTGAATCTGCCGAAGAACGAGATGTATTCCACGGTCTCCGCTTCTAAAGCAATGAAATTATATTTTATAATATTTGTATATTTTTCAAATATAATTAAATTGATATAAATCTCTCTCTTTATCAAATATATCCCACGCGAATAAATGACTCTTCAAAGTTGAAGATAGTTATAAATTTTATTAAAAATTTAACCAATATTTTACCTTCATTATTTTACCTTCGATACAACACCGTTGCTTTACTTAATAACACAAGGTCTTTACTATGCTATCGTAAACTCAAGAATAATGATCCTTTCCTTCCTACGATCCTTTATTCGTTAAAGAAACGGTATCGCTATCAAATCGCGTCGAACGATTTCTCGATTTTTGTTTCGAAATTATCCTTTTTTTTATGTAATTTTTACAGATCTATAAATCGAAGTATACATGGTACATTAATATAACAATTAATTGATAAATTTGTCATAATTAAAACGAAAATAAATAAAACTTTATCAAAATATGCAAATGACACTTACTCAAGAGAACCTTCAATTTCTGCAAACATAAATGTGAAGCATGCGTCTTTTATTTTTATGTTGTACAGTTACATGTTTGAACTTATCAACTGTATCCAAGCTCAGTATGTAGTTGTATAAAAGATACAAGAAATCGTAATTATTGAAACTAAATAACGTTTAAAAATATCCTTCTGTTTTCACATATTATGTGACAATATTGATATTAATAAATAATATAAAGTAGAAATACTATTGATTTAATCGTGTTGGAGGAAGTAAAATTACCAAAGTAAAGATGTCAAAAAAATTACCGATATCGTGAATATGAATAGAAACTACAAAATTTTTTATTTATTATATATTAAACTGCTTGTAATAATCAGTGTAATGAAGAAAATAAATAATAATTACTCTAGAATGGATGTAACTAATATTTTTGTTGATATGATTACAATACATTACACGATTTCGCATCTTTTAAAAATTGGGATGACACCTTTCACAATTAAGTGAAAACATTTACGAAGTAATGTCAGATTACAACATATATAATTAAGAAAAATCATTTATTACATAACACTGTAAGTAATGTGATTTTAGGATCATTTAATATATATATTGTTTTCATGATAATATATTTCGAAGAAGGTCACAAAATATCTGTTGTATACAAACAAATTTATTACCATATTTGATTTATTATGTCTGTTGACAAAGAATGTAAATACATTTTCAATTGTGAGGAATTCTAGTCACTTGTAGTAAAATATATATTTATAAAACATATTCATAGATAAATTCTGATTTCCGTAAAATGGAGGTTATGGATTATTGTAAGTGTACAGCATTAAGAGAAACACAATATTTTATAAGTTATGTCAAATAGAAATATGTACATATATGATTAAATATAAAAATGATGAAAATGCTTTTATATTTTCTACATTATAAAGAATATATATGTTACAAATCACTTTTTATGTTATGAATTAAAGAATAAAGAAATTTATAAATATGTATATTTTATATATACAAAAGTAATTGTAATTATTTATAATTTTGATAAAATATTACAGCAGAAGAAGTACAAATGGAAGATGTAGTAGAAATAGGAGAATCTGATAATGATAATGCTGACAACTCAGAAAATGAAGCTCAAACAGAAGATACAAGTAAGTTTGTTTTAACTTTTGTATGTCTTATACATGTCATAGATTCAAAAAATAATATGCATGTGATATTTTAGAAGACAATGATGAAGATGAAATAAAAGCAAAAAAAGCAAAAGAAACAACTTTAGACGATTCTGATATTGATTCTGATCAGTCTTGTCCAATATGCATGGATTTATGGACTAGTTCAGGAGATCATCGTTTATGTTGTTTAAGATGTGGACATTTGTTTGGACATAGTTGTATTTTTAAATGGCTGCAGACTTCTTGTACTAGTGCAAATCGCCGGTGTCCCCAATGCAATAGGAAAGCTGCTGTAAAAGATATCAGAATGTTATATGCCAAAAAATTGACTTCGATAGATACCACAGAATTAGATAAATTAAAAAAACAATTAAATAGCGTTAATTCAGAAAAGAATCGTATAGAAATGGAACTTTCAAAATATACTTTAAGAGAAAAATTATTTGAACAACAAATTGCTGCCATGAAAAATCGGATATCTGAACTAGAAAGTCAGCAATCAGAAATAACTATTCATTCAAATCAAAATATATCTAAACATATGGTTAAAAAGTTCCATTTAGATCGATCTATAGAAATATGTAAGGATGGCGGTTGCCGTGTATTAGATTACAATCCGTGGTTTGGATTCTTGGTTGTGTCACAGAAATCAACAAATACTTTATTCTCAGGCTATGGTATTAAAAAAATTGATTCTGATAAATTTCAACCACGCCAGTTTATTTTTTTGCATAACCAAGTTATAAGAGATGTTACATTTAATACATCTCAGCAATCATTACTGCTTAGTGTTGGTTTTGATAAATGTGCAAAATTACTAGATATTCAAAGCCATATTATTATGCATACTTATCAAACAGACTCTCCATTGTGGAGTTGCTGCTGGTCAGGCAATAATTCACATGTGTTTTTTGTGGGTGCACAGAATGGATCTATAACACAATTTGATATTAGACAAACTTCTAGTGCTGTAGAAATTTTAGATAATCCAGGCGACAGGTCACCAGTAGTTTCTCTAGCAACAGTGCCTTCTAATTCGGGTAGCAGTATTACTCGGGGTGGATTCATAGCGTGTCGTTTAAATACCTGTTATGCTTATGAACAGAAAGATTCAAAATATTTACCTAAACAAATATTTCTTGAAGGTCCGTTTGTATCTGCGTGTTACGATGAAAAGAATAATCATACTTTAATATCTTCTCGACCAAACGTTAGACAACCTCATGCGAGACACATAGTGTGCACCATAGAAAAAGGCAATGAGGAATCAACAATTTGTAATGTAGTACACACGTTCCACGCTGGTAATTCTCAACAATTATTGTCTCGACCATGTTTCATAAATGTTGAAAATGATACATTAGTTGCTGCACACCAAGAATCTACTAGCAGTATATCATTATGGAGTACATCCACTGGAAAACAAGTAAATAGTCTACCTGTTTCTGATCCTGTAGTGGATATGTGTGCAATTGACGTCACTAATAATTTATTCTTGGCAACGCTTTCTTCAAAAAAAGTTAGAATTTACAATCATGGATAACTACCATTGCTATAGAAATATCTTTTTCTTCATCCATGCATTTATAGTGTGATAGTTACATAACTAATGTTGTATTTTTTTACATGCTATTATTTTGTATAAAACTATATGTTGACAAAAATAAGTAAACCAATCAAAATCTAAACTCACAAATGTGAAGCATAAATTTTCTTATTAATGATAATACAAAAAACTTCCATACACATAATTTAAATTATGAAAAAATACTAAAAGTAAAATTTTAATGTTACCATTTTCTATTTAAAGATATACATGTTAATTACTATGCATTTATGCTATGAATATTTGTTATATAAATGTATTTTTCTATCAATTTAAGACTGTTTCAATAGTTATCCTGAGCATTATTCTAAAATAGGATAACAACATTAAAAAGATAAGATAATTAAAAATTAATTAAATTAATTAATAAATTTATTGAACTTGATAGATCATCTATATACTAAAATAAGGAAATTTTTGTACAGGTATTCCTATTATTTTTATTGAAAAATGTCATTTATTGATATTTTTGAAGTATTAAATTACATTTAAAATCTATATAGATGCTGTAACCAATTCTTTTCATAAATTAATTGTAAATTATATGTAATCAATTTTTTAGATCTAAATCATGATTATAAATCAAACAAACCAAATAGTATTATAATCTATTAGTACACCTCTAACACAGCCTCCGCATAAATTACTAGAAAATGTAAAAGAAAATTAAAAATTCCTATTTCAGCACTGCCAGGAATACAATATTGCTTAAATATATTAAGAAAAATCTATATAACTTGTAGGATAACACATATAATGCTATACAAATAGTCTTTTTGAACAAGTTTCAAATATATTCTACACGACCTGCTATCTTATTAGGGACTTAAAAGTAATTAGTGTCTTAAATTATTTATAAACCGGTAATTTTCTCACAAATAATATAACTATAAATTTTATTAAATATTTCTAGTATAAAATTTTTCTTGAAATTTCATAAGCTGGAAGTGTCAATATTACTTGGAAGTATCAGTGCCATACTTTCTATCTTTTTATTACTGATTTTCAATTTAGACTTATTTTGAAAACCAAATTTACTCTATACCATTATGCTTAATAATGTAGTAAATGCATTTTTTAACATGGAATGTACATCTCCAGCTTCGAGTACAAAGCATTATGCGTATATAAAAAAGATATTCATAAACGATAGTAAATTATAGATCACTGAAACATAACCCTTCACCAAAAATGTACAGAATTTAAATATCAACAGTATAGCATTTATGTTCATCATTCTTTTTACAAATCCCATTTAACGATAACAAGTTGGTATCTATTTCAATAATGTACAATCAGATCTAATTAAGATAAACCTCTTTGTGGCTTAAAGAAATCTACAAAAAGCTAATGATAAAAGTATAAACTAATCATGGGTTTCATTTTAATGTAATAAAGCATATAAAGTATAATATTGATTTATAAAAACAAAACGAAAAATTTACTAAGTACTATTTTATGCAAATATTTTTTCATTACAAAATGAAAAGATATATTGAAAGACAATGACATAAAGAGAAAGGAACGTCCAATAAGAAATTTAGAAATATACAATAATTCGTACAAAGAGATTTAATAAATGTTTAACATGTAAAACTGCGTTCTTCTGTTAAAATGAAAAAAAAATGATAGTAAATGCATCGTGACTTAAATAACATTTTTAAACTTTTAATAAACGTAAGATGAAAAATGATATATTTTTCATACAGTTTTTTAAAAATGTGCTATCAAGTTGGACTTAACAGATTTTATTAATTACTGTTTCTTCATGCCTATTTTACACGTTAAATAAATGAGTATTGTTTAAGATTCTAAAATGAATTTCCTGTGAATTTTTTTGTCATTGAAATATTGTCGTTACAAGTGCTGAATTTGATTATGGAACTGCTATGGTATCAGTAATTGGACATGGTGTTACAGAAGTTTTGTAATGACAAAATGAGCAGTGCTTTTATATGACAGATTAACTATACAGTTATCACTAACTGAAGAGCTGCTCAGTGGCACGTTCCAAATCCCAATTGTATGAAGATAAAGCAACTCTTGCATTATGTTCTTCAATTCCCATATCTGTTAGTCGCCTTATTTTATCATCTAAATCAGGCATCTTTGCTGGTCCTGAAAAATATTTTTGATTATGGCAAAAACCAAAGTCAATTTAAAGTTTGCTGCTGTTATATGTCATAATTAATTCAATACAATTTATACTCACCACCTGCATATACATATGTCCAATGTTTGGCAGTTTGACGAAACATTTCTGGATGTTCTTTATATTGCCTAGCCACTACTGCATCTTGTGGATCATCTGGTTCTGCTGCAGACAGTAAAGCTTGTAGTGATAACAATACTGTACGTAAAGTCATAGCAGCAGCCCTAAAAGTCAGTACAAAGTACAAAATAAGCAAATAAATAAAATATGTAAAATTCATTTTTTATCTTATTTAAAAAAATTACATACCATTGGTCTTTCAATATATCTAAACATATAGCACCTGTTACTGAAGATATATTAGGATGCCATATTTTTGTTATGAATCGTACCTATAAAATATTATATAATCAATAAAATATAATAATTAAACTATAGAAAATGTATATAAATCAGTTCATCCATTTCTGGTTCTAGAACGTTTATAGAAAAAAAAATATTTACATATAAACTGATATTTAGTACAATATTTTTAATTACTTTACATTCTAGTATATCTTATACTAATTCAATAGTATGATAAAAATTTATAAATACAAGTGCAAGAAAAAGAACACAGAAAATGCTTTGTCATGTTTTAGGTTATATTAACCTGTCTTAATTTCGAACAGTACAAAATTGATACTTTATCATTAACATATATTAATCATATTGACTTACAAAGTGCTTACTTTAGGAGGATTGAAGGGATATGTCTCGGGAACTTTAATCTCGAGCACAAAATTACCTCCCTCATATGGTGTATCTGGTGGGCCCGCAATCTCACCTTTTAATTCAGTGAAACTATCATTTACCAATTCAACTTTAATTGCACATTTTGCAACCTACAACAAAATTTAATAAACAAATTATTAAAAAGTATGAATATTTTTATGGACAATTTTTTATGTTACTATTAAAAATTTCTCTTAAAGATACATACTTACATGAGTGAATGTAGCTATAATTTGCATGAAACAAAACTAATCTTACATTTTTTTTTACATCTATAAACAAATGAATAATAAAAACATAAAAATCAATAACATGAAAGCATAAGTGTGGGTTATTGCAATTGTCTAATGTATATTAATAAATGCTAAGTTATATAATTTCAAATACAAATTACAAAACATTTATTAGTTTTCATTAAACAATAATTTTCATTGTAATAGTACATACAAAGTGAGTTTTAAGAGTAGGTTCAAACTCTAACCAAATGACCTATTGACATTATCATCTGCATTAGAGTGATGTAATATCTTACAGTGATAATTTTCCATATTATCATAACATGAAGATTAAGACATTCTAATGCAATCTGTCTCTGTATAAACACGTGGAAATAATAAATAACATACGTTTTTGTAACATATAAAATGGATCTTTTAGAACAACACAAGCGCAAGCGAATATGTCAGTGTTCACAGAAACTTAAGGCAAATGGTATGTATTATTTCAATAATCTCATGAGCAAGGGCATGTGTCAATGATCAATTCTACATTTAAACATAAAACAAGTATGTATCATTTTGTATAATTGAACTTGCATATTGATTCATTGAAATATCTATATAATATAGAGAAAATTTATTCGTAATTATTTTTTTTTTTCTTCAAAGTAAGAATATTTGGTAGAAATAATTTTAAATGCATGAAAATAGAAGCATTCAATTGGCAAATTTCAACGAGCTGAAATGTTGATGACAGTCGAGAATATCATACAACAGGTGCCTACGCTTTGTTCGCGGTGATTTTCATCAACCAATGAATTGCAGCACATTTTTGTCACGCCACATATGAAACTTTTTCAGAATAGTATAATACAACTGTACGATGTCGTTCAGACATTTTAAAAACTACATTTTAAGTGAAAAACGAACGATATTTATTAACATTATAGGAAGCTATATTACTCACCTCTTCGCTTCTTATAACCTCTTTAAATTCGCGTTGGATTCTCAATGCCGCGATGTTCGCCATAGCTTCCGAATCGGTGAGACAGTCAGTACACTGTCATCGTCATTCGAATAGATTAACAAAGTTCGTTGAATGCGTCAACGTGCACAAACCTTTGAGGTAATAATATTTGAGTTTACTCTTTCTTTCTACTTAGAAAAACGATCGTTTTAACTCGTGCTCTACACTAAAATCTCCGCTCACGGATACATCCAATTTATCATTTAATCACTGCCGGCGCCACATTGATGAGAAAAGTTGACTGTCACCCGCTCATGTTCACCCTTTTGAATTTTGTCTAGATTCACGTCGTTCCTTGTTATAGCGCCAATTTATAAATTATTAAAAAAAAAAAAAAAAAAAAAAACGTAGGTCTCAATAATAGTTCAATATTTATGATTTACTCTGTATTTTTAATGAGCGTTTACAATTCACGTAATAACGAATATGCTTTAAAAAAATGAAAATGTATGGTGTAAATTAGTACGTGATAAATTTAAATTTGGGAACCAAAGTAGTTACTAATTCATTTTGAACTGCACGTGATAGAAAAATATAGGAAGCATAAGTTAAATCTAAAAATTACTTGCAACACGTGTAATTTTAAGTGCTATGAAGTTGGTTATTATCATAAAAAAATCATTAAACAAATGGTTAGATTACAGTAGTTAATCGAATCGCAACATAATTTTAAACTGTCATAAATAATATTTTTAAAAATGTCATGATTCTCATTAAATTGCAAAACAATCTTGTTGGTATTTTATTCTATTATTTTAATAAAAGAAAAAGGTAAAAATAATAAGAAATGCATTTGCGCGGTAATGTCCAACGCTCAATGGGCGGAGCATAGTATTATACATCACATCCGGTTTTAAGAGCGATCTGTGATTGGATAGTCTCGTTGTGGTTTCTGTTTTAGTGATGCCTGTGTCCCAGCCAGTGCGTGCCAAGAGTTTGTTACGCGCAAACTTAGAAAATTCTCGCGGGCGAATTTTGCAGAGCAGAATGCCAAATATCAAAGTCTTCAGTGGCACATCACATCCAGATTTGGCTCAACGAATTGTCGACAGACTCGGTATTGACATTGGAAAGGTTGTCACCAAAAAATTCAGCAACCTCGAAACATGGTAATGGTTGCATTCACCGCTATAACCACGTTATTATCATCGCGTTAAAGTAAGGTCTTGACCACGTGTCATTTCAAATTTCACTTAAATTTCATTTTTCTGATATGTTGTTCCACAAAACGTTAAAGTATTTTCATCACTCTTGTAACACTCTTTTTATATACTCATTAATTTATCAACCCTACCAAAGTGCAAACAACCCTGTCGCGCAAGGCCGGTTTTCTCATGTACCATCGAGCCGCGATGTTTAACTTGAAGGTCAACTAGTACAGTTATTAATACTCATTCTAATGAATTCTAACTTTAATGTGTTTTTACAAATATTGATATGCGATTATAGAGTATTTGAGCTTACGTGCAACCGTATGATAAATATATTTTACTGCTATGTTATTATTTGTTCATGTTCGGTTCTCATCATGAAGTATATAATTTTTTAATTGAAATAATCTCAAGCACGAAAGGAATCAAATAATGAACAAGAATAATTAAAATACATAGATCTCACTCTCATGTGTAACTTCAATTTATTAATAATAAGAGTAAAAAATAAAAAAGAATACCCTTAAACATATATAGTAAATTGACTGATATATTCTTTGGATTTATATTTACATGCTTTCAAATTCATTACCTTTTTATATACTGCTTTATATGCATCAAAAATTTTTATAATAATTATATTTATTTTGTTTACGATTCTGTTAGCGTGGAAATAGGAGAATCCGTTCGTGGAGAAGATGTATACATTGTTCAAAGTGGAAGCGGAGAAGTCAATGACAATTTAATGGAGTTATTGATTATGATAAATGCATGCAAAATTGCTTCTGCATCTAGAGTTACTGCTGTAATTCCTTGTTTCCCGTATGCAAGACAAGATAAGAAGGATAAGGTAGGATACATTGATAAGATAATGTGTTTGATTTATTTTTTTATCTATTACAGTATTATGCATAGAAATTCATGAATTTACAAATTTAGAAATTGATGATACTTTTATATAACTGATAAAGTCTAGATCATTTGGACATATGTTTCGTTCTGTTACTATATTTTACAAACATATTTGTAAGAAACTTATGCCAAAACATTTTATTTGTTTAGATTACACACGATGTATGATGGTAAATTTAACTTAGTGTGTTGTAACACTTGTTTGTTTTGTTTCATTTTATTGATTATCAAATCTGTAGTTCACTACTATCACTAGCATATTTATGTGTTCTCATTGTTTGTGGATAAAAATTAATGAAATCAATTAATTATTATTTTAAATGAAATATGTAAAAAATTGTGAATATAAAATACTCATATAACAAAATAGTTTAGAAGTCATGTTTTAGTGAATATTTTAGACACATAATAGTCATTTTGTTAATTTATGTCATTAATTAACATAAGTATATTGCTTACTATACAAATAAAATAAATACTCCTGTAGGGAAGAGAATGCTATGCTTTCAGTAGTATAATACTTGAATTCCTAATTTAGTCTTGTATATATCTATACATCTTTAGTTAAATTTATGTGCTTATTTCTCTCAAACTCTCTAATAATAATTATATTTCAAATAATTTATGTGATTGAAATTGCGCATTTTATGTCTTCTGTAATCATGAATACTGAAAAACATGACCCACATAATAAGGAAAATACTTGTCAAAGAAGGAGTTAAATTTTTTTTATATGATATCTTCACAGGGTGGTGATGGAGGTGACAACAGAAATTCTAAGAAACAAATTATCATGAAGTCAAACGAGTGGAAATTCAGGGTAATTTGTAGCGGTCTTTTTTTTTGCTCTATTATAATAGCTTTGCAACAGACCACTGGAGTAATATCACTTCTGGAACGCAAAACATGAGTTTTCATCATCATATAAGATATGCTTATAATTTTTTGGCTTACATCATTGGGTCGTACCAAATGGTACTCTTGTTTACCAATATTTCATTATTTATTGTTTCATACTTCTAAAATCATAACTAACATAAATTAAAATCAATATCTAATTTTGACACGTATTACAAGAAGTTTTAAATATACATGCAAAATTTTATATTAAAAAAAAAACAGTACACCAATATTGTATACACACTATTTTATAATATAGTATGCATGCAAACAATAAAAAAAATTATTATTCATTCATTTTACATATTTTATGGGATTGTTTATATATTATACATGAATATGAAATACATATTCTATGGATTATTTAATATAAATATTTAGATCTCATTCAACTTGCATGAATTAATTTTTTAAAAATAGTTTTAAGTGGTGTATATACATACATATAACATTATATTTCACAAAGTGGCACATGTTAATGAAGTAAAATCTTCAAAGTAGAACTTCATATAATTTTGCAATAAATAATTAACAAAGCTGTAAACATAAAGTACATCATAACTGAAACGGTGTGTTTAGTAATTATCAAAAGGTTATCAGAAGTTAGATAACCCATATAAATGTTGCGAAATTAATGTCAGAATTCATCGAGGGGGGTCTTTCGTGCATTCATACTATAATATTTATTCATTGAATGCAGTTTATTTCAAATTTCTTATTTTAAAGATATTAAGGTATTTTTTTAAAGATATTAATAAATACTCGATATAACATGTTACAAAAGAAATAAGCACAATGAAGGTATATTGATGTAATCAAAATTTAATTAAAATAAGAATTATTATATTTAATATAACTTTTAAAATTAATTTTTAAAAAATAAATAATTTGCTTTTTGCTTTAATTAAGTAATTTCCAAATAAACGGCTACTGAAGAAAAAAACATTATTATTACAATAATTTTTGTCAAAAAATTCATTTTACTTCTTTATAAATTTCTGAATAGTTGGGTATTTTCAGGATTTTGTGCCCGACCTCTCTACAGTGAGTATAAGAATAAAATTATAATGTTGTCGAGTGTAACGTTTGTAATTATAACTCGATGAACAATTTGACTTGTAATGTCATTTTTAGTTTTCAAAATTTTCTTTGTAGGACTAACAAAACTTATATTTGTTGCTATATAGCACAATGGTATCCCCATGAATGAATGAATGAATGAACTACTTCGTCATAGCATATTGATACCTGAATGAGAGGGCAAAATATTAATATAATAGCATTCTACATATATTTTTAATCATCTATATACATATAATGGGATATACACCTGTATGTTAAATGGGTACTAATCATTATGTTGCTAAAAATGTTGTTGTCCAAATATACTAATCATGAAGCGCCTATCTTATTAATGAAATAGTGCTTTGGCAAGAGAAAACTGTGATTGTGTTATTTTGGCAATAGAATGTTATGCCAATAAAATGATTTGCGAAGAAATACTATTTTTAAAATATTAACATTAATTAGCTTTTTTTAAAATTTATATCTATCGTAGATATAAAAGTTTATTAAGATTTAATGATTTTATTATTATTATTTTTCTGAGCATAATGCATTTATATTTGTTCAAAGAAAATTTCACTATGTTTATTATTATAACACCAATGGCATGTCAATGTATTTATTATATATTTTGATTTTAACTATGCTTATCTATAAAATTTACTTTATTTTTTTCTAAATATTTTCAAACATATGCAGAATTAAAAAATTAAAATGCATTGTGTTCTGTATTGTAATTTATAAGTTTGAATTTTGCTTTACTTACATTTTCCTTCTGAGTTTAACTGGGGTGCATTTGCAACATATTGTTTTTGTTTTTATCTGTATGTACACATGTACAATATATTTTTAATGAGTATTTCAGTACATAGCCATTGTATTGATATTTTGTCCCCTCCAAAAAATAAAAATTTAACTTTTGTTATATATCTTTTATAAAAATATATTTTTAATATTCTTTCATTTATTGACGTTATAAAGTGTTTCCTAAAATGTTTAAGAATTTTAATGGCAATTTTTTTCAAATTGCAGGATATTTCCAGTTGCAAATGGACTTCAGAGATTCATATAATTTCATTAAATAAAAATTTGTCGTTATCTTTCTTTTTCAGAGTCGTGCACCTATTTCAGCAAAATTAGTAGCAAATATGTTGTCAGTAGCAGGAGCTGATCACATTATTACGATGGATTTGCATGCTAGTCAAATACAAGGATTTTTTGACATTCCAGTTGACAATTTATTTGCTGAACCAGCTGTTCTAAAGTGGATTAAAGAAAATATTATAGAATGGCGAAATAGTATCATTGTTTCTCCAGATGCCGGTGGTGCTAAAAGGTAAAATTCAAAATTACCATTAATATAAGACAAATATATTATAGAAAGGTTATCTCAATAGGGTAACATCTATTGCTGACCGATTAAATGTTGAATTTGCTCTTATACATAAAGAAAGGAAAAAGGCAAATGAAGTTGCTAGTATGGTATTAGTTGGAGATGTAAAAGATAGAGTTGCTATTTTAGTAGACGATATGGCTGACACTTGTGGTACTATTTGTCATGCAGCAGAAAAACTTCTAGAAGCTGGAGCAACGAAAGTATATGCCATATTAACACATGGTATTTTCAGTGGCCCAGCAATTAGTAGAATTAACAATGCTTGTTTTGAAGCTGTGGTAGTAACAAATACCATTCCTCAAGATGGCCATATGAAGGATTGCCCAAAGATACAGGTAATTAAAAAATTATACATAATGAATTAATATATATTTAATATTATTACTTATGATTATACAGTAATGATATATAAAATTTTTATTTTTATATATTTTAGTGTATTGATGTATCAATGATGTTTGCTGAGGCTGTAAGGCGAACTCATAATGGTGAATCTGTATCGTACCTGTTTTCAAATGTACCGTATTAGATGAAAATCTTCCTGATAATATACTCTTTAAAACTATGTAAGAAGAAATATAATCTTTTTACATCCGCGTTTTCTGTTATTCTTAGTTTAAGTTTAAACTAATTTGCTTATAAGAGCAAACTTGGGGTAAACATATCCCGTTTTTAATTTTAAAATCATACATATTTTTTTCTTCAACAGACGTATATAGAAAATGACGTTAGATGGATAAAATGTACGATATTGTTCATTTTGATGGAAAAATAAGTTGATAAGTAACACAAAAGGAAGCTTTAAAGTAAAATTGTTTAAAAATAATTAAATTTTTGCTAGATTGCCACTTAACATGCAGAGAATATCATTATCTACTTAGAACATATAGTTATATTGTTTAACTTAATTTGTATGATATGAAATGACATCATGATCCTGACAGTTGTAAAACTGTATAGGTATAAAAAGTATTGTAACTGGTGCAAGTAGACGTTTATGCGATAACTACGCCGTAGAGGCATCATTTTTTTTACAATGACATGTAAGAATTTGCAATATATATGTACAATTTATCAATTGATAAACATGTCAGAACAATTAGCTTTTTACAACTCTGATATAATGTAGTATATATTGTAATATATTATGTATTACATTGTACTGCATACAATAGCGAAATAATGTCAAAAAGACATTGTATTTTTTTCGAGTATCTTTTACTATTACAGTTTTTTAAAAACAAAAAATTGCTATTTGTATGAACATATTTTTATTATAAAATTGTTCCTTCATTTCACAGAGGAAAGTGACTTTACAGTTAGCTTTGGACCAATATACGAAGATATAAGTCAATATAAATACATTGTTTACGTGCAAATTTTTCGTAATTCGATAAAAAAAATGCTACTTGTTAATGAATTGGGTATTATAATAAATATCTTCAGAAAAATGTAATTTTAATTCTTTATTATACTATAATAGAAAAATTATGTACATGATTATTCTATTATTAATTTAAATATGTTGGCTCATACTGATTAAGTGTTTAGAAATATCTTCCTTAAAAATTATATTGTGTATAAAATGTAATTGAAACAAGTATCCTAGAGTAGTTACTTTGTTAGCTAAATATCAAGTTGGTTTATTTTATTGTTAATCTATATGTTGTATTATAATACTCACACATTATTCAACAACATGACTCATAAATATTGTTTATTATACTGTAATAAAAATTGTAAAGAAATTGTTCATGACATATTTCACATAACTATAACACCAAATATTTTGTTGATATGACTAAGATTTTATATACACTCCATAACAAAAATATCTAACTTAATTTGTAATTTAATTTATAGTATTATGTGCAACAATTTAATGACAATGAACTGTGTAATTTTTGTATTCCAAATATATATACACAGTATGTAAGAATTTGAACATACAATTGACTCTCTTAAAATAATATAAATTAAAACTTTACCAAAGTACAAAACTGTTCTATTTACATGTCATCGTGTGCAACTAAAAATATTATAATTATATTTTTACATTTGTAAAAACTGTATGTTAAAAATTAATTTTAACGCTTTCAAATGTTTTGAAATAATATTATCTTTAATTCATAATTTTTTTGTATTTACCCTGTAATCTTCATTGTTTTGGATAAGATTGTACCAAATACAAACATACACAACGTAGAAAAATTTATAGAAATATATAGATAAATAAATTAGTTTCTACAATTTAACATATTTATATGTAAAAAATGAATTTACTGCTATATTCTTTGATTCTGTTTATGTTTTACAATGACCAGGTGGTAATGTTATATCAAAAACTACTGGTGGATTACTTGGTAAATAATTTAAATCGCATGTTGATGCGTTTACATATATGATTTTCCCATCAGATGAAATGCCATACCCTAGAACATAAGTATGTAATTCATGTGAAATAAAGAGGAATAAATTTAACAATATACCTTCATGTATGTGACCAAAAACATGATATTTTGGTTTAACTCGATTTTGAACTGTAGAAAGTAATTCCACACAGCCAGCTCTTACACCACTACAACATAAATCTCCATGTCCCACAGGGGGTGTATGTGTTACAAGAATATCTGTATCCGATGGTATCATTTCCCACTTTGAAAGACATGCTTCTCCACGAGGTACATTAAATGCCCACTTACAAAATTCTGGTTGCCTAAAATATAAAAGAAATTTTTTAGATAAACATGGTGTATATATATATATATATGGAGTGTCTGTATAATATATATAATGTAAAAATAAATATTTACCATGGTGTACCATATATTTTTATTCCATGTATTATAATTTCTGAATCTTCTAAATAGATACAATTTGTTAAATATTCTTTAACGTTAGAAGTTTGTATTGCTTCTGCAAGAGTATCCTTGGACATTCCTAATGTAGGTATATTGTCAAGAATACTGGTCCCTGTATGTTTTTGACGATTTCCACTGGTTTGCAAAGAGAAGGGATGAGTAAATGTAGGATCAAAACTAAGTTCATGATTGCCAGCTATAACAATCTTATTTTTATGTGGCAAATTACCTATAACAGAATTGTTATTATTAAATATTAGTATAAATGTATGGAAAACGAACATTTTTTTATTTCAAATTACCAATCCAATTATTAAATTCTATAACTTCTTGTAAACTACCACATTTTGTAAAATCTCCAGCATGTATGAACACATCTCCCATAGGTATGTCGAATTTTATAAATGGTGTTAATGAATGAGTGTCACTCATACAAACAATGCGAAGCTAAAATATAATTGAACATTACGATAAATTGATTTTTATTTCTAATGTTAATAACATACGAATTTTATATATTGTTCACTATAGGTTAGGTTCGGCGAATGTTTGTAATAAAAAACATGACAAGAAATTCGAAAAGTTTACCTTATCATCTGGGGCTTCGGTTGTTGGAAGTTTGGTATTTATTTTAATAACTTTCTGTTGCTCTGACAATTCACGCCAAGCTGCTGTAGGATTGTTTGTTAAAGGATGAATCTCTATCTTCATGCTGAGAAGATTATGGCAGTCGCTTGTCAATTTCAATTGTTATAGTAACAGTAAAATTAACATACATAATATGTTATTTAATATGCAGCTACTTTTCTACATGTATTAATTTAACTTCATATTGTATCTTTCATAAAAAATAATAATAACTTGCTCGGTAAAGACGGCTCAACATTGACCGATAGACTTGTTTTCTTTTCTTATTACATCTTAAACGATTTCTATTTCACTTATATATATTTTCACAACAAGTTGTTATTCATTAACGAATGAAATAAACACGTATTAAATCGTTAAATAATTTAAATTCATTTTAACGTAATTTTTAAATTTTTTGAAAATATTTCAATGTCGGAGGAACGACCAAAATTTTCGCGCCTGCTCATGTATATAGGAAATGATACGTCAGTATTTAAATAATTTCATCGGCATTAAAATTTAATAAATCTTATGTATAAAAAGGAAATTATAATTACAAAAATTACTTAATCTAAAAATGTATATTTACCAAAAGCAAAAAATTATAACATATACGATTATAAGATTAACGATCAATTACTTACGATTAATTACAATATCTCCATAGGAGATAATTAGCAGGTGCACAGGTGGACACGTGGACACATGACACATGACACATGTACACAATGCGTACTTTGCATGCATACACATATATATGTGTATATTTCATAGTGTGAGTCGTGTAGTTTCAATACGTACTTTGAACCATTATTTGTAATAACTCTGATAACTTCGATATCTTTTTATTTTATAAAAATTTTCTTTACAGCAAGTGTTTTTGATATAAATTTTATGTTCAATAGGTTCAGAAGTAACTAGTGAAAAACTAACGTACAGTAAAAACAAACAGAAGTCAAAATGTTTTCACGATCGGTAAGTAAATTACAAAGATATGAACTTTTATAGTGTGTAAAATCTTCAATTGTTTTATTAAATTGTTATATTAAAGCATTGAAATTAATAGTACTATATGGTTTGTTAGATGCTGAAAAGTGTAACATATCAAAATCTACTGAGAACATTTTCATCAAAGGCTGATTATGCTACAGGGTACAACTTTGGTTAGTACAACAAATAGAATGTAAAAATAACATAATTATATTTGTAAAAATAAAAATATTTTTCATTATATATATAATATATAACACTCATATGTAATATACACACTTCAGAACTAAATGATATGCAAAGAGAAATGCAGGAATTGGCACGTAAATTTACAAAAGAAGAAATTATTCCAGTAGCTGCCGAATATGATAGAAGTGGAAAATATCCATGGGATATTGTAAAAAAAGCATGGAGTTTGGGTTTGCTGAATAAACATATTCCTGAACATTGTGGTATAATTATATCATTTAAAAAACCAGATAGAACTGAGAGATAAATTATAAATATATAAATTATTGTTACAGGAGGAATGAATGTTGGTATTTTTGATGGTTGTTTAGTGGGAGAAGAATTTTCTTATGGTTGTACAGGAATAGGAACTGCACTAGAAGGATCAGGATTAGGCGTAAGTTTATTTTACAATGTTCTTATATTTATATTGGTACTTATTACTATTGGTGCTTTAAATTGTTTTAACAGCAAGCTCCTGTAGTTGCATTTGGCACAAAAGAACAACAAAAAAAATATCTTGGAAGACTCATCGAAGAACCACTTGTTGCTGTAAGATAATTAAATTTATTAATTTGTAGCAATTCATTACACTTACAATATAAAAATTACAGGCATACTGTGTAACTGAACCTGGAGCTGGATCAGATGTGGCAGGTATTAGAACAAAAGCTGAAAAGAAAGGAAACGAGTGGATCATTAATGGAACAAAAATGTGGATAACAAATGGAGGTGTTGCTAATTGGTCCGTTGAGTTTATCAATAACTTGTTTGTCATTAAATTATGTCAATAGTTACTATATAACAAAATTACTTATTTATATAGGTACTTTTTATTAGCAAGAACAAATCCTGACCCGAAAGCTCCAGCTAATAAAGCTTTCACAGCTTTTATCGTTGAACGCGAAACTGAAGGTTTAACACCTGGGCGAAAAGTAAATTTTATTCTTAATAAAAATTTGCATTTTTTGGTACAAAATAAATTATTTATTTATAATTTATTTTGTAATAAAATAGGAAATGAACATGGGTCAGAGAGCTTCCGATACTAGAATGATAACATTTGAAGACGTTCGTGTTCCACAAGAAAATGTTTTAGGCAAGGAAGGCGAAGGATTTAAAATCGCCATGAAAACTTTTGACAGAACTAGACCAATGGCACGTAGATAAAAATACTACTTAACTAAAGATAGTTAATTATAAAACTATAATATTCAAATGTTTCATATTCTATTTATAGGTTGCCACCGCAGCTGTTGGTTTAGCTAGAAGAGCTCTTGACGAAGCTACAAAATATGCAACGGAACGTAAAACATTTGGTAAACCAATAGCAGAACATCAAGCTGTAGCATTTATGCTCGCAGATATGTCGATCGGTGTTGAAACTGCCAGACTTGCTTGGATGAAATCAGCTTGGGCTGCCGATCACAATCTTCCAACAACCACAGTTCTTGCCAGTATTGCAAAGTGTTACGCTGGTGATGTAGCTAACAAATGTGCAACAAATGCTGTTCAAGTATATCATTATTATGCAACGTATTTATTTTTCTTATAAACTAAAACGAAAGCAATTATTTTATATTCGATATTTCACTTACAGATCTTTGGCGGTGCTGGTTTCAACACCGAGTATCCGGTAGAAAAATTAATGCGTGATGCAAAAATTTATCAAATTTATGAAGGTACTGCGCAAATTCAGAGAATTATAATCTCGCGTTATTTGATTAATGAGGCTACTCAAAAAAATGCGTAATACTTTAAATAAGAAGTTTATTTCCAACGTTAACTCAGAATAATATTTTATATGTATTTTTGCGATCTCTAATTCGCCGAATTTTTACGGTATATGCTACGTATATATATGTGTGTATATATATATATATATATATTTTATAACATTTTGTATGGTTGTTACAACACTTTATATATTATTAAACATTAAAATTTTACAACTTGTTAATTTTGTCTTATCACTTTGAAATATGTTTGCATTTTATTTTAGGGAAGCTCAAAGCGGGAAGAACATGGCGATTTTGCATTTCATATTTCGCGCTAATCAGTGTTAGATAGCGCTGCAAACGTTGTTCGAAAGCGTTAGTCAAGTGTATTGTACAATGAAAAGGGATTACATCGCATTATGTCCGTCAGGTCATAGTTTTTACACGGTTATATTTGGTGAAGTCGTGCGTGGCGAGTTATGCAACATTTGGTGTAAAAGCGCTCCATAATAAGGCGTCCAGATATTGTGACACCTGACCTACTTAGACGGTATCGTCGTATTTAAGACAGTGGTAAATTGACAACATTTATAACGTGAAAAACGCATTTAACAGCTTTTCAATTTGCAGATTCTCACTGCCTGCAAACACCACGGAACTAGGAAATCTTTCGGAAATTGCGTCTTTCCGTGATACATTATTGGAACACAGTGCCGTGATTAGTAAAACCTGGTACCCACACAAAACCTCGCTCGATACGTTCCTCCTCTCAAAATACTTTCTCTTTTGTTGCTGTTCGATGTGGTACAAATTAAAAGTAAACGGTCACCTGATTACATTAGTGCTCGAGACGACGAATTTCGTCAAGCTCTTTCTACGTCATGCGACATTTTTGTAGAGATTGGTACAGCTAATATTTTCCCTTTCGTTACCCACTGCCGTATCTACGAATGGTAAAATTGGGCGCAAATCAAACGGTTAGCTTATTTTTACGAAATGGACGTGTCACAGCATAGATTAACATTCTTCGACTTCAATTCTTTTTTATGTTCGAATATTTAAATTTTATTTGTCTTTTTTAACGCGTCGTTACCAAGTATCTTTTAATTTTATTCGAGGTTACAGTTACAGACTCATCGAAGCATTTGGCCATTAAATGATTCGATGGAGCGCAATGACTCGGGGAATTAAATTCTTTTTGTAACGTGACAATACATTCTGGTACTCGAAATTCATTGAGATAAAGTCTATTGCCGCGTAAATCGTAGATCAACGAGGAAGTCTAAAGAAATTTTTTCATTTCATCTGTTCGAGCTTCGATCGTACAGATAAACCGCGTCCAATTTCACGTTCGAATCGAATGCCTGTGCCTGTCGATCGAGAGGATCGCGCGATCATGGCACGGAGGAACCGAGTTGAACAAGTAAGCTCGATATAGATAGATGTCGCGGAGAAATGGCAAGAGTTGTCAAAAGGTGGATGATTAGAAGCGTGATTTGGGCGCGTGGCATCGATAAAGAGCGTCGACGGCTTAGGGCACCGGCACTGAGCACACGGTCCTGGAACTCGTGCTGTCAGAGCGCAACGGTGCGCCGGACGCTCGCTTGACTAAGGGAGTGCCCGTCCCGATGCAAAGTGTAAGTGAAGTGGCCTACAGACCTACATTTGTCTAACGTTCGATTTTTTTCGAGCCGGCGGACAGGAGGTTAATAATCCGCGCGGGGCTCATTTTTCCGCGGGCGTGTGTGATGTCGCTGTTGTGTAATATACTGATGTTTGGTTGAAAGAGACGGTGTAGTTTCGGTACGCTCAGACGGCGCTGGCCGGCGCGGGGAGCGTAGTAGTAAAAAGAGAGGAGGACAGCAAGAGCGTGCGCACACGGGAAGAAAGAGAGAAGGTGACAGAGAGAGAGAACATACACAGAGAGAGGAGCGCGAGGAGGAGAGAGTGAGAGGGAGAGAGAGGGGGGGCAGAGATACAGATAGAAAGAAGGAAGGAGATCGAGCTCCCGCGGTTCCGTTGGTCGGACAAAGATAAAGAGAAAGAGACCGAGACGGGGACAGACAGATAGATAGACGGGGGTGAGAAAGAGAGCGAGGGCACGTAAGAGAGTGTGTAGGTGTTTCGAGAGAAGTGCGTGCGCTCGAGGACGACGTGCAGGAGGAGGGACCCCCGTCTGTCTGTCTGCTGGAATGCACGAGGGCCGAATGGCTACGGGGACAGGGGAAGGTGGGGGCCACAAGGCCCTCGAGAACACCACCGCGACTGCCCTTACGGAATCATCGTCGTCATCGTCATCGTCATCGTCGTCCTCCTCCTCCTCCTCGGTACCGATTCTCACTGAAAGCAACACTAATTTACCTTTGCCGGGACCTCAGCAACAAACCATTCATCAGGTACAACAGCAACAGCAAGCTCAACAACAACAACAACAACAACAACAACAACAACAACAACAACAACAACAACAACAACAGCAGCAGCAGCAGCAGCAGCAGCAACCGCAATCACAGCAGCAACAAACGCACTCACGACCACCGGCTAACCTGGTCACCGATCTGCCAACGAACAATGCATCAGGTAACCTCAACCACTCATCTCTATGCTCTTCTTGCCGAGTTCTTTGTTGCCGCGGTATACCGCTTGCCAAACTATCTTCGTCTTTCTCCAGCTACTTTGCCTTGTTTCTACGCCTCACTCTCACTCTTTGCCATCTTTCTCCTTCTCGCTTTCGCTTTCGCTTTCAACCGTTCCCCTCTCACTTCGTGCGTGCTGTCTTTCGTCCTTTTCTTGCTAACGTTTGCACGTTGCACGGTCTTCCCTCTTTCCTCCTTCCACCCCTCCCTCCTTTTCATTCGGCTCTTTTTCTCTTTCCCACTCGCTCGTTTGCTCTTTCTCTCTTCCACTCATTTTTATTTCTATTGTTCGCACGATTGGAAGTACATATGTATATGTGTTTATACTTGCATCGCTCATTCGATTCGATTCACCTCCGAAATTACACACTCTAATTCTTCCTCATTGCGCAGACACAGCAGCACGTTTTTTTTCTTTTTTTTTTTTTTGAAGTAATTTTCCTGCTTTGCAATTCGCTTCGCACCGCTCGACTTTTTTTACGCTCATCAATAGCAAGCGGAATTAGCAATTATGTTCTAACAGGAACATCGATATCGATATTAATAATATCACATCTCGTCTGAAAACCCACGCCGCGATAGCGAATTCTATTCATCGATTCTCTCTGTTCAACCAATGCGGCATACGTGTCTGTTGTCTGTTAATTCCCTGTCGGTAATCTTTATCTATATCTGCATCGTTAAACGGTAGTTAATCGCGAAGGTGTCGAGCGCAACAATCGTGCCGATACGATTTAAACTACCCGCCGTTTCGAAGGCGTACTTAATTCCATATGGGAACGAGTTTCCCGCTTGAAATGTTCCTAGCAGCGTCGCCTGAAAGCAAAACTACGGCAAAGAAAAAGGAAAAAAAAAAAAGCTCTAGACGTAGGCAATTAGGAGGCGATAAAAATGCACGAGATCGTGCGAAGTAACCTGGCAAAGGTGGTTTTTTTTTATGAGGGGGAGGGGGGATAAGGACGATAAGAAACGACAGAAAAGTAGGTGGAATCAGATATCGTGCATCAGGGCGTGCGCTCTCGCATTTTATTGGCACGCGGTGAAATTCAGTTGGCCGCACATAGGATAGATCCCATTGGAGGGTTGCGCGGGTTCCTCGAACGACGCGGCGGAGCGCGCAACAGGCGTTTCCCGGCGAAAGAATTCTGCAGCAGCGAAAATGCAAACCGAGTCGTGGTGGCCCGGTCGCTGCCACATCCCGTCTCAGATTTAGAACAGACAACCTTCGAGCGTTTTCTTTATGAACGTGGCAGCAACCGCCACTCGGACCCTTTGCGAACGCGAAACAGCGATATTTCGCTTTCGCTTGTGCCTCGTGGCATTTAACGTGGTAGATAGTTTAAATTGATCGCGAAAATTTTCAGAGACAGTCACGTATGAAGAGCACGCGAGAAGAGCGCGACAAATTTATTCTTTTGGTTTAGAGATGTAATTTGATTGACAAATATGATAATTAAATAGAATCAACGCGTTTGATAAATAGTTTTAAAATATTTGTGTTACCTAGTAGTCCATCTGTATCTCAACTATAGGTGGCCTTCATTTATTTGAAATTTTGATTAAAAAAAAAAAAAACAACAATCAATCAATATAGCGGAGAAAATCAGTAGACTGTTATCGTATCTACGAATATAAACTGTTTGTTCCCTGATAAAATTCGATTAAATTTTCTCTGTACTTTAAATGGAGTACTACCTTCTCAATCATTTGCCAAGATACAGACTTTCTCTTGAAATTTGCCTTCTCTCCTTTGGCAGCGCTCGCGTTTACCCGAAGAGAACATTTTGAGGTAATACGGCTCTTAAGAGTACTGGGTAGGCTAGTCGAGCACCGAAGAGGTTTTTTCTCGTACCATTAGACGCACGCGAATCCGTGTCAAAGTGCCCCCCCGGCTAGCAAGAATATCTAATTACTCGGTAAACAAGTAAGTCGTTTTGCCACGAGGGCAGCCGTCTTATTCGAGCTCGAAGGAAGCTTCTCTCTTTCTCTCGGTCGGTTTCTTCAGCCGGGTCGTTGTATCTGAGATCTTGTTAGCTATCTCTCTGTAGGGTTAAATTCACTGTACGATTAAAATCCACGAAACTTCACGGTTGGAAACGTAAGTGGAAAGTATAGAATAATACTTACAATTTAGTGTTTTACGATTCGTCTGTCCACTGGATATTAAATATACATTTTCAGTTTGATTTCAAATTTCACCATTGCAAACACGGCGGCCGTGCCTCGCTGTGTAATGTTAATGATACTTTAAAATGTTTTGCACAACGTACAAGTATCCGTTACATACAAAATGGTGGACAAAAGTATAAGATTTCTGGTACAAGTGTACACAAACGAGAAGAAAAATGTCTAAAAGAAATGCTATATAAATTCTTATATAGCTCGATTTATGGAAATGTTAATGAAAATTACACAACTTTAATTTGTACGTGGTATACGAGTCTACCAGGTTTTTGCAGGGTGTCTTGTAATTTTATTCTTCTACGGTTCGACCTGTCGCGTATTTTCTACACAGATTCGAGCAAAATTGAAGATGCATGTATCTACATCTAAGATACATAGAAGAGGAGCGAGCGAGCTTTTAATTTCCTTAACCGTGACGGGCGGGTTACGTATCGATTCGGGTGGAAAAGGTGGGTCAAAAAGGTGGCCCGCGTGTAACAACTCCAATTTCCCCGGTGTTCGCCGATAAAGATGTCAAGTATGAATATTCATAGCTCTCGCCAGCATTAATGCAGATAATTAGCTGCATTGTGGCATTGCGCGATTACGCGGGTTCGTTACAAAGATACAAGCCTGCTCCTCGTTTCGCGTCAAGGGCATTTCGTCTACTCTATTTTCTCGTTTCGCGATCGCCCGTTTTTCCTTTTCTCTCCTTTTTCTTTTTACCTTCTTTTCCGTTCTTATTCGTCACTTATTGCTTCTCGTCCTTTGTCGCACCATCCCTTTAACCGCATTTACAAATTAGCGCTCCCGTTTGCGAGCTGCTCTGCCGCCGATACCACTCGCGCAGGCGACGTGTTAAATCTACTCGAGCATGGCAATTCGTTCGCGATACAAAAGCTTAGGCCACCTGAGAAGAATGAAAAAAACGCGTTATCGGAACGTTGTAACACACTTGTTAACGACAGTCTCGAACATATAATCGCGTTTCAACTGTCTTTTACGCAAGTTCTCCGGGTTGGGCTGCGAATGTTTATATGTTGAGACGTGTGGAATGTAACACGCAAATAATATCTAGAAAATATTAATTATTATTAATTATTAATTTATAATAGTTATTTATATTATTATTATTATTATAAATTAATAATTAATAATGATTGTATTTAATATAATAATATTATTATAAATATATTATTTAATTTATTTACAATAATATTATTATTAAGATCTATTATTATTAATATTATTATCAATGTTTAGTGTAAATCGCAGTCATTACGATATTACTTGTTGTCAGTGAATGAAATATTTTTCTTCTTATTTGTAATAATTCGTTTATTTATTAGAGGATATAGATTAATAGCAATAAATGGTATCAAAGTTTGGAGCATCCTAAGAATTTTGGATGGAACTGTGTTTTTTCGGCAGATCGAGTTACCGTTGTTGTTCGAGTTATATTTACGACGAAAAATATAGAATTCGTGCATCTATTTATTTTTTGAATACGATATTAATGTGCTCTAAATTCTTAGATGATAGTGTACGTTTAGGAACGAATACATTCTTAATATCTTACACGTTTCTCGTTTGATATTAAATTTTCAGACGTGATATTACTTTTAATTATCAAACTGGTTATTTTAGCGAGCACTCAAAACGATTAATTGCACCCACTAAAATATGAGATTTTCTGCGAACATTTGTTAATAGTCCATTCGGTGCGAGGTTGATGTATAATTATTTCTCGTTAAATTAATAATTTCGATATCAAACGACGATGATTAAATATTATTAAATATCGATCGATTAAATAATGACCATTTTGAAATGACTAATTAAGCAAAGGAAGATCTTTTTACTGGAAATGTAAAAATCGTCCTCAAACGCGTTGAGATTTGAAAGACTTCGATCAGAATACAAATTTTGATCTTTGTTTTCCAATTCGTTTGCTCGATCTTTTTCGTGGATTCTTCGTAGAATCTTCGCGGGAGGAAAGAGAAAAATATAAAAATCGAATTATCGACACGTCTTCCTCTTCTTCTTCTCCGCCCTCCTCCCCCCGACTTTTAAGAATTACGCAATCGGTTGTAACTCGACGCGTGATAGGCGATACGGCTGCAAAATTAGCGGTGCACCAGATAACATAGGAAATGACATGAAATTATCAGCCGGAAGTATCGTTCCGACTTGGCTGCAAAGATTCGATAGCGTTTCTTTCGATTTTCACGCGTCCTCTTTTTCATCGTGAAATTCGTCCCCTTTTCGTACGGAGAATTCATACAGCCCATTTTCATGCAACGTTCATCAACAATTGCGATTTTTATTTTCGTGTCATGGAAGAAATATTGTGAAAGTTTTCTTCGGAGATCACGTGGATCGGATATAGATCAATATATTCAAATTCATGCTCATACTTCAAATATTCTGCATTTTTTTTTTTTTTTTTTTTTTTTT